GGATGCTTCCAGTTGACCATTTGCATGAGCTGGCTAGTGCTCCTTGCATCTACAGCTTCCCAAATCTTTACTCAGCCTCCATACAGCTTCACTGTTGCCGAGGTGGGGCTGACGAACCTGTCATCGTTTGTCGGTACTTTTATCGCGACTGCACTGGCTGGTCTCATGGTAGATGGGCTGGCCACGTTTATGGCTAGGAGAAATGAGGGAATCTACGGTAAGTCATCCGCTACTCACTGAACAGAAAATTAGATGGAACATGTGTGCTGACTCCTTTTTGTCGCAGAGCCCGAATTCCGTCTTCCAATCCTCGTTCTTCTGACTACACTTGGCGGCAGTGGCTTTTTTGGCTACGGCCAGAGCCTTTCGAACGGCGAGCCTTGGCCGATCCCTGTCATCGTCTGCTTGGGCATGATCAACCTCGGAGTCCAATTCGGCATCGTTGGCCTTGTTTCTTATGTTGTCGACTCGCATCGTCGTGAGGCTGTTGAGGCATACGCAATGATGAGCTTCACCAAGAATGTCTTTGCCTTTGGCATGAGCTTCTACATGAACGACTGGATTGAGTACCAAGGTGTGAGGGATGCCTTCTTCGTGATTGGTGGTATAACTATGGCACTCAGCATGGCTACCATCCCCATGTACATCTATGGCAAGAGGGCACGAAGCCTGGCATTTCGCCATGGCTTTCTTCAGTAGTACCCTTCCACTTTGTAGCTCTGTATTCATATTCTATGTTGTTTATTAAATCTCTTCTTGTTATTATCCCGCCCGAGGCAAATGTGGTGTCTTGGTTAATGTGTATTGGCAGTTTCTTGTTGATCGCCTGATATGCCAATCTGTCCTGTCTGCCTCAAGGCAAGCCCCAAGATATAACTACTATAGTAAAAAGGTTCTTTCACCGTCACTGGCAGTCAGTGCTGATGAGTAGACCTTAATCATTGGTAAAAAGGTCACGTGCTCACGCAATTACTCATACCTATCACTTTTCTGTGATCTCTGCTCCTTGATTATCACACGAGCAACTCGCCAAATTGATTACTTGGCCCTACCACCACCACCACGTCCTCGCGACAATTTCGACGTGAGATCCAGTGTCGCCTGAACGCGCGCTTTCCACTACTATCACTTTTAGCGTACTACTTCTTCACGAATCAATTCACCGAACTACAATGTAGGACAGGGACGACGAAGGACCCAAACGGCCGTCAGTCAAAGTCCCTTTTAATCCCCGGGCAACACCCACCCGCTACCATCAGAAGATCTCAAACGAGAGCGGTGCAAGTGCTGGCCATAGCACTACTACAAGCACCAAGAACCATCCTGTCCCTATCTCCACAAAGTATCGATGCGCCTGGCCAACTCTCCGCCCCTTACCACTTCGATGGTCGCGAACCAGGTTCCCTGCCAATGTCAACCCCTCGCCGTCTGTCTTTCTAAAAGATGTCTCTGAAATCTTGAAGCGCCACAACGTCAATTCCGAGACCAGAGTGGAGTTTGAGATGAGAGAACAACAGGACTTCCCTGGTACAGCTCTTCCTACATTGCTTGTTATCTCGCCTTGGTCTGAAAGACTGAGGTGTCTGAAAATCAGTTACTGAGGATATTGCCAAGTCCATCAGCCCCGGCACTGGGATACAGGTGGAGATGATTGCACCAGAGTTGTATGAAGGCGTTTTCTATCACCCCTGGAGGTGGAGGGGGAAAAACTTAGTACCTTGATCCTAAGTGACAAAAAGGCTTAGGTAACTTGGCATAAATTTAGGATAACCTTAGGATGAGCTTGGCCTAAACTTAGGATACCCTTTGCTAAATTTATTTTGTTATCCTAAACTTAGGGTCCGGTGGCTTGTGAACGCTGATTGCATACCAATTTCGCGCGTGCTTAATGTGGACTCGTACACCCTCCAGGCGGAGTCTACAAGGCCGAGACTGAGTTCAATGAAGATGATGACACTCTCCCCCTTGGTTTCATCTGAGCTGTAGTTCGCAGAGATGTAAATAGTGATAGGCTTTGTGGAGAGTGTTCATAGACCGTAGCGGAACAGAGCGATTGTTTTGCCCTTAGTTGCTTCGAACTGCTCGAGCTTTTCATATACGTACGCGCGAATCTTGTGCCATGACTGAGATAGTTGGGGCTGATCCTGGACAGGGCTACAGGAGATGTGTTCATATAACTCTGGTGCAATCATCTCCACCTGTATCCCAGTGCCGGGGCTGGTGCCTCATAGCTCACTAGAAGATCAGCGACAAGCTCTCGGAGCTCAGAGCCAGCGAGATTCATTCATTGGACTGCTTTATGTAGCCGAATTCATTTGTTTCCCTCCAGAGTGTATTTTCACTGGAAGATGCTTACGGAATATGCTCTTATTCTAGCGGACTATCTGTCAACTGGAAGTAAAGCAAATGCGGCTTTCGACACTGCTCTGTATAAATATAGATGTCTCCCAATGCCTGCTACCTTGTTATTGTTTGAGAAACTTTCGGAGACAGAGAAGATGTAAATTGAAGTATATATATAGTTCTCTATCAAGCTCTATATGCCCCGATTTAGTGTCGCCATGGATCTTCGCCGTGATCTTCAACAGCTATATTATCCCTCAGTGCTGATATGGCTCAATCCCATATAACTACCATTGGGCCAATTCTCGTTGTCAGATCAAGCTTTCCGAAACTGTAATTTCCGACAACACCATCAAGAAAGCCAGTCTTGAAGTCCCTTTTGAGGATGAAAAGGTCGTTGGTAACTTGGTTTGCAACCGCAAGGAATTGATTGCGAGGATCAGATGATAGTGAAAAGTGCCGAGGTATTTTACCATAGGTGCTGTTGAGACCCAAGAATTGCAGTGGTTTCTTGGAGTATCCGTTCAAAGAGTATACAGCGATAGTGTCCACCTTATCGACTGATTCCGTGTTCCGGTTGCAAACATACAAGAAGCGTTTGTCGTGCGAAACAGAAAGTTCGGAAGCCAAATCGACGTTGTTGGGCTTCGTACGCTTGCTTGAATCATCGAGAGTAGACGCCCTCTGTAGATGAGTTATACGTAAGGTTTCATTTAGGTCAGGGTGCCTGCCATAATGACCAGCGGAATCATTTCCAAGCGAGAAGACATTGACAGTATTATCCAGCTCGGAAACCAAAAACATGAGTGTCTTCTCTTTGCTGACTTGAGAGAAGACAATGTGGCGTGGACCCGTTCCCGGTAGCAAGGTAATGGTCCGAATCTGTTCGACATGTTTCGCATCGTGTACCTGGTATATGTAAACACGATCCGCGCCTCGGTCAGGCACAGCCATAATATTTCCGCAGGGACTGAAGATGGCGGCATGTGGATTGGCAATCTCCTGCGAATCTCCAGTCCCAGGGCCAGGATGTGTGAGATTGTAATGAAAGACGTTAGCAACCTGGCCAAAGTTGCTAGGAGAAGTCAGTGGGAATATGGAGACTGTAGAGCCGTCGCTAGAGCGTGACTGCGTTAGAACTGTAAATCGTCATTGGGTGACTTGGCACATTGCTTACATATTGGCTGTAGATAGCGTTCTTCCGTCTCTTGAAATGTCAAGGTAGACCCCGCCATCACCGTGAGATGCTACTGCGTCACGTAGCTCAAGAAAGCCATTAGGTAGCTTTCTAAATGCGTAAATGCCGCCGCTCGTAGACGAGTTGTCAGGGAAATGTGTTCTTGAGACCGAGTACAGATATTCTCCCCTATTGTGTAACCATCCTGGTTGATACCCTGCCTGGGTAGTGCCGACTAGTTGGATACTTCTGTTTCTAGGTTCAGTGGGATCAAAGCTTAAGGTCAGTATACCTCGTTCTTGATGGGCAACGCGAAGAGTATGGACTTGTGATTTTGCGCATGCCGCATAGGCAAGAAGCATAATAAGAAGTGTAAGTGAAAACATATTCTTGTTGTCAATAATTAGAACCTTAATTCTGACGCAGATTTTATGGAGGCCATGAGTGGAAAGCAATGGCTTTTGAGTGCTTTTCACGACCGCCAGTGACTTATTTATGTCTTGGCTCTCGTCACAAAGTACACAAGCTATGCTAAATACGATCGTGGCTTAGTATGACATAGTAAGCTTACGACGCAGAGGAATAGGTATATGCCCGGGCTTTGAGCCTCCTGGCTTCATAATAAATCTATTAACGTGCCGGGTCAATAGTCCTGCGGACTTGGATTAACACCGGCGGACATATTCAACTTCAGCACACAGCATAGCACCTAGCCCGCTTAAGAACAGCGATTACACTTAGAATCCTACGGATACGGACTTGTAATGTTCCTTATCCGAACCACTTTCAATCGAAAGCCCCGGTGTGGTATTACAGACAAAGCTTGTTGTCGATACGTGCCTCCATAATCTGACGGACCTTGATGTCTGAGGTTTTTATGCTTTGATGGGCGAGTAATTGCATTTCAGCCACCGTTCCTGAAACATTAAAGTGAAACATGGGCAAATCCTGAATTCTTCCCGTTGGAAAGCCATCTGTATACGTCGCATAATGTGCACGCCTTATCTTGCGGGTGACTTTCTGTAACTGGTAAGCATCATAGCACTAGGAAGAATAGCTAGCTTTAATTATTTTAAATAACTCACTTTCCGGGCTTTACAGTAATCACACTTGCTGAGATATTTTATCAGGAATATATTTTCTGTAACGCTTGAAGGGAAAGACGTTATAGATAACTAGAATGATCTAGAGAATTATAAGTGCATTAATAATAGTTCACAGGTAGGGAGAGGTTAACTTACCGTTGACAGATGTGGGGAAATTTGTTTTTCCGTTACAGATTTAAACCCGTTGCTTATCTTATCTCCCTGACTGTATTCGTGCTAGCGTGGACCTGTAGGCAAATCTGCCTTGTCTGCCTTTCAGTGTAAGCCCAAATGTGTAACCAGCGTCAGAGTACCAGAATAAAAGTCAGCACTTCCCAAGCCACTTTACCCCGCTGGCCCTTTCATCCTTCTCTTCTCAATTCCGAGAGATCAATATGGGTGACCCATTCTCTATTGCCAGCGGCGTCGCTGGTCTCGTTTCACTCGGCCTTACCGTCTGCAACGGCCTTCACACTTACTTCAGCGCTATCAAGGACAGGAAGGATGATCTCGCAATTGTCACACAAAACCTGGCCCTGTTCAAATTCCACATTTTCGCCGTCCAATCTAGTTCATCAAAGCTTGGTCATCGTCATTCTCCAGCCATCGATGGCTTGCAGCTAAGTTTGATGAATTGCGAAATGCAGCTCAAATGTATTGAATCATTGCTCAACGACTTGACGCCAGCCGAAAATCCGTCGTTGGCCAAGGAGACTTGGAGAAGACAGAAACTGATTGCGCGGTATCCTTTTGATCGCAAGAAGCTGGTGCAGCTGGAAGAGTATCTCTCACGAGCAAACATTACTCTGAGCAGTTTTATACAAGCCCTCAACCTGTGAGTGATTTCCAACAATATCGATGGGTGGTTATGTGCTGAAGCAAAATAGTGATATAAATGTCCGGATGAGTGACGAGTTGCAGGCTTGTAAAATATCTCTGGAAGCACTGAACACCAACACTCGTACCACCTTGAGAACGATCACCACCAGACTCGACTTCATCAGCCCCACTGTAGGACCTAGCACCCTCCAAGTTGTTCCCTCCTGGGAAGAAGACGTTACAGCCTCCAGTAGCAATAGTATCGCCTTGCACCAGACCGCCATGGGCGCGGAGATGAAGTCTTGTGGCCCCGGAAATGAGCGATCTTTCAAAGATCTCACCGACGTACATTCCAAGGCTCGTTATCTACAGAATGCGGAGCTCGAACAAAGGCTTTTCAAAAACCTGTCAAACATGAATTGTACCTGTGGGGCTTCAAGTGGCCGGACTAGTAATCGTCCCGCAAGTCGCACGTACCGATTCTGGGGGGGTCTGACCGTCTCAAGACAAGGAGATGTACGAGCAAATCATCGCCCCGGGTGCATTTTCTTTCGGAAGTCCCGGAGCAATGTCTCGAGAACCTCATTAACGTACTTCGGGCTTCTGTCTCGTTTTTCCCGATCCTTCACAGTTTCCCTTACGCAAGAGTATCCTGCCGGGCCATACAGCGTCTGCTTTGGGCTGCAGCACTGTAACATAGTTGAAAGTAGCCCGGCTTTCAAACTCTTGAACATGAGTCCACAAAGAATCCATAAGACATTCAATCCTAATATAACAGGGCTTAGTTTGAGTCACATAGCGGAATATTTTATTAGGGAGCTACTATTTATCTACAGATCTGGAAAAGCATCACCTTTTGATATTGACAGAGAGGGTAATAACGTCGCTCACATGTGCTTGAAAGTGAGTTGGCTGCTTCTTTCTTCTTATTGGCTTGTTGATAACTTCCAGCTGACGACTTTGGAGACACTTTTGTTCTCTTTTGACTACATAGAAGCACTGAGGTCAAGCGACATAGCAATTAATGCTATTTGCAAGACGTTGACCTACCTGGCCGATATTGGAGTTCCTATTACGGCATCAAATTTCAATCAATCGTAATGCTCGAGGCCAGCCACATTCCTTTATCGATCTAACATAAACTAGAAACCTGTTAACACACTCATTTCGCAACCTCTGGATCATACCAAGTCTTTATAAATTGTTCATAAGCCGCGATTCAAGCTTTTACCACGCCGAGTTAGCTCATAATGCGCCCCTGGTTGCAAACATATTTTTTGAGCAGGGTGAATGGGCAAGGCAGTTAAATAACTTGTGTGTATATCCTGAATTTTGTGAAGGTGAAATTACCATTGCCTAATTTTCACCAATGCTTGAAGTACTAAGCATTGAACGCAGATATCGGGTTCTCGGAGCTCTTTTTAGCTATCCTGACGAAAGATCATGGAAGACTCCAAGCTGTCCTGGCAAAGGGTGAGACTATCTTGAACATCTCCCAAATAGACTTATATGGGCGCAACATACTACACGTATGCAGCAACTGGCCTGATGGGCTCAGGCTACTTTTACAACGGCAAGATGTTTGGTCGTTGATGGACCCGATGGATACACGCCTCGACCATCTCGCTCCTCTGGATTTCGCTCTATTCTACAGTAAGATCTACTGCAACTCTGCGGATGAGTGGACAGACTGTGATAACTGCACTTGCTATGTTGCTGTTCAACTTCTGCTCGAAGCTGATTGTAATGTCACTGTCGGTTATAGACGCCCTGCAACCCTAGCTGGTTGCTCCCTGAAGGCCCGAAAACTATTCTTCAAGCACCTTAAGGACAGACGTGAGCGATTACGAAATTTCGCTTCTTCAGTTCTTCCTGAAGAAACCCTGCGTCAATATGGGGTTACTGCGAATTGTTTCCCTGACAAAACTGCTATTGCGTTATGGACCGAACTGCAGGAAGCTAACGATCATCGGGATCGGCGAGTACAGGTTCCTTGTAGTCTCAAGCCTTGCAACGATGAATTCTTGAGCAATCCCGAGAGTTTTTTCGAGTACCCTCACCACCTACAGGTTGTAGAGCTAGCACTCGACTACGGTTTAGCACCTAAGGATGAGAAGGGGGTTCCGACACTTCTGTCTGGCACTGACATCAAACCGGGTACTTTAACCAGAGGGTTAGCAGAGAAGGTATCTATGAAATATTTAGATTGGCTACTCCGGCAAGACCTAAACCTAGAGCTGCCATTGGAGCCCTTTCGGGTTTCCATTCTTCATCCCATTGCAGTTTTCATTGGAGATCGCATCATCATGTCTTTAAGACAGGTCAACGCCTTCAATCCGCACCGGGACGTCTGTATATCTGAACTACAGTATTCAAGGACATTGTTGCCAGCAATATGTCGCAGCAACTCCCGATGCAATATCCCATGCCCATGTTCATCAGGCGAGTTTAGCCGACCTTTGGCACATGTCTTGCCCGGAATACTCCGAATTCTGCAGGGTCAAGATCACATCGACTCGGTATTTGCTTCTCAGAGGATGGCAGAGATCATAGAACTTGTGGTCCGTTCTATCAATCTGTTGAAGCTTTCTGATGGCAGCTCTGAGCAATCATACATGGCGATTTGTGCAATCCATATTCTGACGATGATGTCCTTGGGAGTAAGGCACTTGCCAATCTGCCTTATAGAACGCTATTATCACGAATACGACTCAGGCTGTGAAGAGGAAGACTGGAAGGAAATTCTAGACGAGGACCGAGAGTTGATCGCTCAGCTGCAAACACTTGACGAAGAATTTGTAGAGGCTTTTGGCTGCCAAGATGTTCCCATAAATGAGTTTCTCCGAGGATACTGGCTGTCAAGAATCAAGGAAGTCATTGGCAAGTTGAATAAACCCCTGGCTGATGACGATAGATATGAGCTTTTGGAGGCCGGAGTGGTGTTGGACGAGGACGAGACTGGTGGTTCTCTATGTCGCGTTAAGCATCCGGAATGAAATGCCAGTCTCATATCAAACGTTCTGTATCACACCCTAGAACTCAATAGCCTAGTGATCTCGCCGCGTGCGTATTTTACCTGCTAAGTATATATTGGTAATCCGGATATAGGTTCTAATAGATAAAGATCTCTTATCTATATGTATGCCCGGATTGGTACCTATTAGCCGGAAGCTTATCTTTTGACATAGAGATCTGCAGATTTATGTCCCAGTCTATCGTGGTTTATCTGCGGGGTTGCCCCATTTCACTAAGCGACATGCATCAACTCACCCATTTTTCGGGTCGTCGGCGCGCCCTTCAACATTGTCTTCTTAGTAATTCCTCACCGTTTAAAGATAAGCATACATCGTAACCTCAATTGTCGCTCATGGCTAGCTTAACGCTGATAAGCGGAAGTAACGTTAAACCCCCGATCTCGGATGTGTCATCGCGTCTGCAACTCATATCTTGCTGCAGCACTTCTCTGACCACTTACAACATGTCTCGCGTTTACGTGGCCGGGATGTGGACGGAGCTGTTGACTTGGCCGACGCCTTTGAGTATCCTATCATGGCTTCGGGGAACTAGTGGTGCCGACGGGGCAAAGGGCGCTCAAAAGTTCTTTGCAGGTATGTCGACGCGTTTTTTTCGGGTGCTTGTAGTCGCCGATGCTGCCGTTACCCTATCTTATCTCAGATAGAGAGAGTAGGTTGATTGACTATTGTAGGTAATATATAGTTGACGATTTCATCTCCTCTTCCAGTCATACTCATTACTGGCGATAAACCTTAGTTGTCACCTGTTGCCATGAAACAATCCATTGCAAATGTTATCCTTGGGCTAGGGGGCGCCATAGCCTCTTCACTACCTATTCAACTTCACACAAGAGGGGCCCCAACTTCTCACTTGACAAACATCTACGTCAAGTTTGATGAAGTGTCTCAGGGTCCTTTGTCATTCACCTATGGTCTTTGCAACAGCAAGTCTCGTTCTGAATCCCACTATACGATAGCTGTCACCGAAAGCAGCAAAGGTGTCTCACGATTAGTCTGGATAATCCCAGAGGATTCGCACGACAATGGCTGCATTTCAGCCTGGACAGAAGAGAATGTTCTCGTGGGACGCAGTGAGCCCCAAAGGCTTCATCGTGTCAGGCGTCGGAATATTCAGAAGCGGGGAACAGGTGAGTCATAGTCCTCCCCGTGTGGTTGGAGGCTAACAACAAGGCTGTGGCAGATCCAATCCTCATGAATGCAGAGAATGGTATCGATACACTGGGGCCATGGTTCGACGGCGTGGAGCATCTCTCCAAGACCGGCCTCTCTGCACTTGATGCCGATGCTGCCAAAGAGAAGCACGTTGCAATTGTTGGTGCGGGTATGTCGGGGTTGATGACCTACCTGGTTCTCTCACAAGCAGGTATGACCAATATCAGCATCATTGAAGCGGGCAATCGACTCGGTGGTCGCGTTCATACCGAGTATCTCACTGGTGGACCTTTTGACTATTCTTATCAAGAGATGGGACCCATGCGATTCCCTTCTACTTACAAGAGTCCTGACACCAATGAGACAATGAACATCACGGACCATCAGCTGGTCTTTCAACTCGCAGAAGAGATGAACAAGCTCAATAATCACGACAAGAACCTCAGTGTTGACTTCATTCCTTGGCTTCAGAGTAGCCCAAATGGCCTTTCATACAAGAACGAGTTCAAACTGCCAAGCGGACTACCCCCGACACTAGCGGAAATTAAGAGTAATGCGTCACTCAGTCCTGCAAGTGTCAATGACCCCATGACCCAAGATCTCCAGACAAAGGTTGATACATTCATGCCTGGCTCAGAGTTTAGCACCCTTATGGCAAAGAATATGTTCAAAGCCCATAAGCAGTGGCTAGAAACTGGTCTCAATGGTCTTGGCGGTGATCAATGGTCCGAATATGCCTTCATGGTCAACTACTTAAAGGGTAGCCTCAACAGCACTGACATGAACGGCGGTTGGTCTGCTTCTAGCTTCTGGGACTCGTTGTATGAGGGAATGTATTTCTCAGCCGCCAGCTACAAGACTATTGATGGAGGTCTCAACCGGCTTCCGTTGTCCTTCCATCCTCTTGTTGACGACATTACGACAATGGAGCGCAAGATTGAGCGCGTCAGATATAGCGAGGCAGATGAGAAGGTCACATTGCAATGGCGCAAAGAGTACAACGACACAACTTTCCAGAACTCAACTTTCGACTATGCTGTAATTGCAGTACCCTTCTCCGTTGTCCGCGGGTGGCGTCTTCCCAAGCTCCCCGCAACAATCTCCAACGCCATTAAAGAGTTGAACTATGGGTCTGCCTGCAAGGTTGCGCTCGAGTTCTCAGAGCGCTTCTGGGAACACTACGAGAACCCAATCTATGGCGGCTGCAGTACGACTACGGATATTCCCGGCATTGGCAGTATCTGCTATCCATCCTACAACTTGAATGGTACAGGCCCTGCGACCATTCTAGCAAGCTACATCAGTGGTGACATGGGAGTTCGGTTGGCAAGCATGTCCGAGGAAGATCACGTCCAAATGGTCCTTGAGGCCATGATTGAGATTCACGGAGAGTTCACTCGAGACCTTTATACCGGAAAGTATAACAGAAGATGTTGGGCGCTTGACCCTCTTGAGTCTGGAAGTTGGGCTAGCCCGACTGCGGGACAGCATTCACTCTACATACCCGAGTACTTCAAGACATACAACAAGGTTAGCAGTGCATCTATTTTTTAGGGTCATTTTCTGACGATTTGAGTAGATGATCTTTGTTGGTGAGCATACCTCGTACACTCACGCCTGGATTGCCTCGGCTTTAGATTCTGGTATCCGTGGCGCAGTTCAACTCTTGCTAGGTAAGGATTGGCACGGATGCTACATGCTTGACTGCTGCTAATGAAATACAGAACTTGGGCTCGTTGACGAGGCAAAGCAGGCGGTGGAGAAGTGGATGGCGAGATGGATTGAAGTGGTAAGACAGTTTGACCTTGTTGAACGTAACATGACTGACATTTCGGGATATAGTAAGCGACTGTATACGCTCTCATCGGGACTCAAGACATTAGTGGAACATTGTGAAGATACAGAGTGCTGTGCGTTAAAATGATTGGCAAGCGAAATAGACCTTGCCGGGTTGTGTAATTTGGTACTCCGTTGAAAAAATCCATCAGCTGCCAAGCTTTGTTATACGCGTATCCCGATGATTCCACACTTGAATACGGTGTAGCCAATCACAGCAGATGAAAGTTCTTGCCTTATTTCCGAGCTAACGGAGCACTCCGCTTTTCCAGCAAATGTCAGGCTGACTTTCTCCATGCAGTATAAGAGGCGTCGCTTGCTGAAAAAATTGTCGATTCTAATAAATAATATAGAATCATGACTTATAGATAATATTGAGTTACAATAAGGTTAGTTAACGTAGATAACCTATATCTTGCGTAAATATAAGCACTAAATTATAGATAATATAAATAGGGGAGCTCGATACTGGTAGCAGCAATAAAATCAAGAGAACGAGAAATAATACATGTCATTTAGACTGTTAACCTCAACGACAGTTAACAGCTCTTATTAAATCAGTATCGTGAGATTTCTAATAACCTTTTACTTATTTTCTCTCCCTTAAGTATTGTCTTTTTCATCGAACCCTCTCTTTTAGGGTAGCTAGAGTGGATACTCTGCTTAGCTTCTATCTCCTAAGCATCGTTTTACTTGAAATATCTTTATCTATAAGCCAATTTCATCTTGCTCATTAATAGTATTTTAACCAATCCGCTCTCTATTTTCACACCAATCGCCACAGTAGGTCACATAGACAGCGTAGTAAATGCACGTGCACAGTTGGGAACACTAAGGACTGTACTCTCACGTGGAAATATAGTGACTGTCCTTCCTCAGGATGGGGCTCAAATGACCCATTTTCCGTCTCTCACCAGCAGCACGTGTCGGACGTTACTTGCGGTCTTGCAAGTTTCCAGGGCCTTTTCTGCACTTTTAATATCCTCTTGGGTTGCTGTTTTGCGCACCAACGGCACAGCACGTGAGGACCTTTTGCTCGTGCTCATGCTCAAACTGGGGTTACCTGTCCATCCAAAGTATTGTGTGGTTGGTAGCCGCATCATTGCGAGCGGACAAAACAGGATTCAAGATATAGGCGACTGCAAGTCTTGCCGCGTGCAGGAAAGGAGAGGCTGGTTTAAATGTCTCTAGTATAACTATCTCGGTAAATAAGTGGAGCTGTAGATTGATAAGAACAACAACCGATACTTAGTCCCGAAGAACAAGACCAACCCCGATACATGACCACGAGGAGTAACTGGACACCAAGTCCGACAAGGACCGGCTATTAAATAAACGGAATACATACGTTTAATGACAAAAGTCGTACGATGCTTACGTCTGGAGTAGGACCTACCCGGAACTACCGGGAGTCACGTGACGCTAGTATCCCTAAATTTGATTACGTGTAAAATTTTCATGCGCCCAGCCCCTGACTGCCTATTCTCATTGTGCACAACAATTGCTCGCATCGCCGCCGCTCTCCTTCACCGCATAATGGCTGAGAAACCCGCCCAGCAGCAACCGCCATTGCCAGTGCGGTCTGGCATGAGACACAGCGAGGATATACGGTGCATCGTGTCTACCTTTCTTTTTTTCCTCGTCTTTGTGATTACTTGGCACCATTTCTCATCGCCGTTGGCGGGAGGCTGGGTTTCGCTTATACTATGGCTGTCGCTCTTCCAGCTGTCCTTTATGGGCGCCGTGACAACGCATAATGCCATTCACTTGCCCGTCTTCTGGAGTAGGAGCTGGAACAACTTTTACCAGATTTGCTTGTCTCTTCAGTACGGCGGCGCTGTCACAGTCTTCATCCCAGGTCACAATCTGTCTCATCACAAATACCCTCAGCAAGCACGAGATGTCAGTAAGTAGCAGCTTACGTCTTTCCTATTCAGACGCAATCGTCTGACAGGAAATTAAATACCTCAACTTTCTCCACATATGACATTGCTGACCGCATAAACAGTGCGCACCACTAAAGTCCGATATAGCTGGAACCTCTTGAACGGTCTTCTGTTTTTCTGGCATGTTGTGTTGTCGGGAAACAAGGACGATAAGTTGTACTTCGAGGCCCAGGCTCGTCTTAATCGTCCTATTGTGAGGCAGCGCCGCCGCGAAGAGATTGCCGTCTGGGGTACTACTGCAGTGCTCATCTTGATCGATTGGCGCCGATGGATCTGGTTTGCGCTTTTGCCGCAGTTCTATGCAAAGTATTGCATCCTCTCATTGAACTTCCTTCAGCACGACGGCTGCGACATGAGCTCCAAGTACAATTTTGCGCGCAACTTTACTGGAAAAACGATCAATTACTTGTGCTTCAACAATGGCTATCATACCGTGCACCATCTATACCCTGGTCTGCATTGGTCTGTCCTGCCGGAGAAGCATCAAGAACTTATCGGGCCGCATATCGCCGAGAGCCTTGAGAGCTCCGACATGTTAGTCTACATTTGGAAGAGCTTTATTTATCCTGGCCTCCGTGTTGACTACACAGGCCGTCCGCTCGTGATTACAAAGGAGGAAAACGAGATGCGTGACGAGCCTTGGTTTTACGATGGGTCAGAGACTTTCTCCAACACGAAGGAATACCTTTCCCAGGGTATGAAATGATTGCATAATGTCTGAGCGAGGCTTGTAGAATATGATGCTTGGAGCCTGCATATACTATAGATATAGATACCAAAAGCGATGTTGCCTGTGAGATGGTAAATTTATAAAATTATTCACAGTATAGAGAATCCACGGTTTATAAAGTAAAGCATATTGCTACCTGCTCCTCTAAGCTCGAGGCTTCTGGGCTATGGCAGCAGGTTCGCGAAGGCCAATTACGAGTAGTGGGCGGAATTACAGTGGACTTCATTCTGTAGAGAGAAAATGAATCTGGCCAGACATTAGAAACTCAAGCTCTCGCTATATCTGCACTAAGCCCATTTGCGTAGGTTCTGCTAGTGCAGTATCTTCTTCTACCTATAATGAACAAGAATAGCTGCAGTCTCTGATGCAACTAGTAAGCAGAGAATGAAGTCAAAATTATAAATTATAAATCTTGAGTGATAGTAAATATATCACTTGTACATAGTAAGCACTAGCAGAACTTACTTAAAGAACATTAATATATGCTAAACCTCATGTACACTCAGTCATCATCTGAGGCTCTGTCTGCCGATCTGCTTTCAGTCACAAGTCTCAGCTGCAAATAAGACACCCCCCATTCATAATTCTTGTAGCTCATTAATATGAACATTAATTATATAAGTAGTTGTTCCCAGGCTTCAAGAGCTTCAGTCTTCATATCTGCAATTCAATCTTCAGATCTATCTAACAGAGTATAACTACTGTCAAACACTTCAGCATTCATTCTATCCACTGACCAGATACTACCATGACTCGGGTTCTTTTAACAGGTTTGTTTCATCGTGGTCACTGATAAACTCAGAGTTCTAAACTTTTCACCAGGTGGAAGCGGCTTTATCGCGTCGCATGTCCTCCGAATTCTCTTGGATCGCGGACACTCTGTCATAACCACTGTGCGATCTCAGGCAAAGGCAGACCACATCAGGAGTACTTATTTTGATGTTCCGTCATCCAGACTCGACTTTGCTATTGTTGAAGATATTTCTGTTCAAAATGCATACGATGAAGTGATGAAGTCGGGCCCATTTGAGGCTGTCATTCACACAGCATCGCCGTTCCTGCTCTCGGGCGATGACATCAAGAAGACTTTCATGGATCCAGCCATTCTGGGTACCACTGGGCTACTTGAAGCTGTTAAGGCTTATGCGCCAACGGTCAATCGTGTTGTATGCCAAACAATCGGCTGATCATATGTACTGATAGCTGATATGGTACCAGGTTATCACTTCGTCTCTCGCGACAGCTGCGGTGGGGCCTGTAGACTCAACCTACGTCCATTCTGCGAAAGACTGGGTTGAAGTATCCGAAGAAGGAGCTTACTCAAATCCATGGAACGGCTACGTTGGTGAGTTACACCCAAACAGAATGAAAGTCAATGGCGCTGATTAATGTAGCGAGCAAGGTATATGCCGAGAAGGCGGCGTGGGATTTTGTGAAGAGGGCAAGCCCACAATTTACCATCACAACAATTTTACCGGCATTTGTCCTCGGTCCAATCATCCATGACGTTGGCTCACTCAGTACCATCATGACTTCAGGGCTACTGATCCGCGATTTCTTATCTGGGAATTACAAAGATGAGATCGCACCAAGCCCTATTGGCCGCTTTACCGATGTCAGAGATGCGGCCATGGCGCACGTAAGAGCTATTGAAGTCAAGGAAGCCGGTGGACAACGGTTCTTGGTTGGCAGTGGCACATACTCTAACAGACAAGTGGCTACTATCTTGTGGAAGAACTTTCCGGCTCTTCGATCCAAGCTCCCGGGGCCGGAGATCAAGTCTGGCGGGTTCCCAGTCGAAGGAGTGCCCCGCTTCGATGTTAAACCGTCAAAGAAGGTATTGGGTATGGTGTATGCAACTCTTGAGGACACTATCGTAAGCATGACTGGGTCGATGGTTGGGCTGTACAAAGAGTGAAAGATATTCATACTAGCTATTGAATTTGGAGAGATAGCGCTCAGACCTTTGGTGCCGTTAGCTCTACAGATTTGGGTGCACCAAGACCAAGATACACAGCCTGACGCAGCCACGCCTCGATATACCACTTTGCCCGTGTGCGGTAATCCTCGATAGGGCTGTATAGCTGGACGAGGACTAGAGGAAAGAATAGCCTGATATGGACGCAGGTCGACTTTCTCTCCTTAAGGAGCTTGACACAGTTCAAGACCATTTCGCAAGCTTGGTGAAGATCTATCCTAGATTGAAGAGTATGAGTTTCCGTGTGAAGCAGTGCAATGAGTATCCATGAGGAGGCAAAGTAGGCGAGCGTTAGCGTCATGACGCCCCGGAAGGAGTCTTGTTGCTGATCAGTTAGGCCTTTTTGGAGCTCCTGAAACTCTTTCCAGAGGTTGCCAAGCCTTAAGGGTGCGTCTTTTGGAAAGCTGGCTGACTGATGCTGATGGCGTTTCTTGATATAAAAGTCGGTTAAAATGTATAGTTCCACAAGTAGACGATCGAATACAAAGTCTGCGGCGGCCATATATTGGCTACGAAGACACTCAAATGCAGGCCAGGTATCTGAAGCATTGGATAAGTAGGATCGTGGTGACGTTAGCATTGCAAGCAACTATGTTGGGATTTATGTTAGCATCTAGCACTTCACTAACAAGGATGGCCAGGTTTGTTATACCTGTTGACATAGACAATGATTGGCAGCTTGCCACAAAAGCGGTTGCGCGCTGATATCACCTGCAGCTACCAGCATCCTCCAAGCACCAGATAAATGCATTCCATATGCATCCGACGTCGTGACCGTGGGTTGGATAGCCTCGAAAAAAGACAGAATCACTGATGTGCATACATTAGGCACAAGTGATGCTGAACTTGCCGCGACTGCCCTCGAATGTCTCCGCAACGTATGGATGTACAACTCGGTTGCCTTCTGGGCCGCTGGTTTGTTTCTCGACACAGTCGCACAAAAGGCCAAGCCCACAGCCCGGACAGCAAGATCAAGGATAGGCGCCGTCTCCTGAAGTCGTGCTTTCTGTAGCTCCTCAAGAAACGAATTGACCGAAGCTCTCGCATCTGGGATAGCAAAGGCAAAGAATCCGGCTTGGAAAGCGACGGCCTCAACAGCCGAATTAGACACGCGGAGACTTGACAGCGGACCGCTCTGGCTTTGCGCGAATGGATGCCGTGGTTGGCTGTGTCTTTTGGTGGTTTTGGCGGTCTGGTCAATGATGATGACTGACGTTATTGGACCAGAGCAATGTCGATTCCACTGTTGGCAGTTGTGGCAAATTGGATATTGGCCATCGCAGCCTATGCGCCTCTGCCGGCAGGCTTGGCAACCTCGGCTGCGGCGTGGCATCTCGAGGGGTAAAGCAAGCTTTCTGGCGTCTCGTCTCGTCTCGTACTAAGATACTCTCGGTAGGTATCGCGAGGAGGGTTATGTACTTACCTAGGATCTGTAGGTGAAGCTGATATCAGCTTTACGCTACGCCGAATTGAGTAGGTTTTGCTAGTGTACTCTGCTTTTGGTTGCTGATTGGTTGCTGAGCCTTGTGTATCAGGCACTGTAAGCGGGATTCATTCATGTACTGTATCATTTGACAATTAGCCCAAAGTTATGTGAAACTAGTGTGAGGATACTCTGTTCAGCTGAGCTGACTACACGTAGAATACATACATTGCTTTAGTAATCGTATGACGTTGAACGCTACGTTATTTCTTCCAAGTCCATCCGAGTATCTGTAGCAAATATAAATAGGACCCTCTGCTATACCTGCCAGGCCATCCGCATTCTCAAGAACAATACATTACCTTGGCTTTCAATTCTTGCCTCATCAAAATTTCAGCATCAACTTCGACCGCTCAAATCATGTCTGCCAATTATTCGACAATCCCTGCTTCAGCAGTTAAACAGCCCAAACCCTTCATCGTGCATCATACCGATGAACAGCTACGAGATTTCAAGATCGATATTGAATCTGCCAAGCTTGGTCTAGCTACCTATGAGAATCTTCAGCAGGACCGTAAGTATGGAATCACCTCGCAATGGCTTCGCGAGGCCGTAGCGGCGTGGAAAGGCTTTGATTGGTGAGCAATACCCATGCCCGTTTCTTAAGCACGTTACTAATATAATCATCTATCTTTAGGCGCAAGGTAGAGGGCCAAGTCAATCGTTTCCCTAACTTCACGGCTGAAGTTGATGACAATGGTGTCTCATATATTATACACTTTATGGCTCTTTTTTCCCGTCGAGATGACGCTGTACCTGTACTCGCTTTACATGGTTGGCCGGGAAGCTTCCTCGAATTCCTGCCTATATTCTCTCGGCTATCTGCCAAGTACAATCCTAAAGAACTCCCATATCACATCATTGTCCCTTCACTCCCGGGATATGCATATTCATCAGCTCCTCCGCTGGACAGGGACTTTCGTCTTGAGAATGCTGCCAATATCCTTGATTCTTTGATGGTCCAGCTGGGATTTGAGAATGGTTATGTCGTTCAGGGCGGCGATGTCGGGAGCAAGATCGCACGCGTCCTTGGCGGTACCTTTCCGAGGGCCAAGGCTATTCATCTGAACTTTTCGATTATGCCTGACCCTGGTAATATCGACGAGAGCGTCTATGATGACTTGGAGCGTGAAGGTCTTAAGCGTGCCGAGTGGTTTCACAAGTTTGGCAGTGCTTACGCGCTTATGCATGCTACCAAGCCTGCCACTATCGGACTAGCACTATCTGCCAGTCCTGTCTCCCTCTTGGCATGGATTGGTGAAAAGTTTCTCGACTGGACTGACGATGATCTGCCCCTTGATGCCGTCTTGGAGTCAGTTTCACTCTACTGGCTCACCCAGTGTTTCCCAACATCGCTCTGGCCTTATAGGCAGTTGTTTACGCCTGGTAATATTGGTGCGCACGAGAATCCGGTGTGGCATATTAATAAACCGCTAGGAATGTCTTGGTTCCCTAAGGAGATTGCGCCAGTCCCAGAGGCATGGACTGCAACAACTGGGGACTTGGTGTTGTTTAAGAAGCATGATAAAGGAGGCCACTTCGCCGCCATGGAGCACCCGCAGGTTTTGTTAGCTGATCTGGAGGAGTTTATTAACATAGTTAAGGCTTTGGTTTAAAAGCTATAATGGTACTCAGATATAACTGTTATGTTCTGAAGACGGTTCTTTCCGGTCATCTCATCCATTTGCCATCTTGAGATTATTGTGAATACCTCCAGATCAAGAACAGGCTTGGAGAGCTGAGCAATAGCTGCAGAATGAAAGCCAATGACGATACAAGAACGCCACAGCTGCATCAGTCAGACAAGGCGCTGGTGCCCTCACCGATAACAATTCGACAGGGATTGGTCTTGGGAAATGCTGGATAGGTAAGGTTGGGGCCGCTTTGACTATCTCATTAGTGTAAACAGCATATAGAAGTGATTGACGCAAGCTCCTGACGCTGCTGATCAAGCAGTGGATGGAAATTGCCAGGTGGCTGCATAAGGCGTATCCTAGCTTCAATAGTTCGTGTACATCACCCCCGCTTTCCTGCCTTATTACGTAGTACGGGCCTGCTGGGACATTAGCATAACAAGACAGCAAGGCAATCAATTGTAGAAAAAAGAATGCTCACTTTCTCAATCCATCTCTCTCTCTGGTTGCAGGCCTCACAGCTATTTATAATATTTATTACAGGCTGTCACCTTTCCCAGTGACCAAGATCTGGCGTCTGAGAGATCATAACCTACTTTGAGTGTTACTCTGTAAGTCAATCAATATGGGTGGCCGGCACCGCTTTGAGAAGTTTTAGAGATTGTTCAATGCAAAAGAGGGGAAAGAAGAAAAAGTAGAGTCCAGCGTGGCTTCATCATCAGTCGATGATCCACGCCCACCCAGAGATCCCGATACGATTGCAGATCCCCAACCACCTCCTATCAACAGCAAACTACCTCTTGTCGCCAACAAAACAGAAAAAGAAAGCAAACGGAATGAGCTCCAAGAGAAATTGTCGAATGACGCTTATGATAGGCTTCGACAGAGTGACAACAAGTACATCGCCCAATATGAAGAGATTCTTGTGTCCGAGCTCAAGAAAGACAACCCCGATGGCGATCCTGTCTCACTTGGGAACTCCCATGAGGAGCGCTGGCGTCAAATGCAGCGTCTTGTTGAGATTGGCCTGTCCAAGACCGAAAACGAAGCCAAGATTTACGAGAAGGTCAACGATGGACTCGAACTCTTTGGCACAGTGAGAGCCCTTGTTGAACCAGCCGTGTCCGCCGTTCCGCAAGCTGCAATCCCGTGGGTAGGAGTTTGCTTCATCCTTGAAGTGATTTCAAACCCCGCGAAGCAGCCGGGTATCCATCGTGAGGGACTCCAGCATGTCCTTTCGCGTGTCAATTAGTACTGGAACCTTGCAGAACTTCTCCTAGAAGACAATCTGAAGTCCGAGGAAGACGATGAAGAGACCGCATTGACGAAACTACGACTTGAGCTCCAGCCACTCATCCTTGACCTGTACCAGAAGTTTCTCTCATATATCATAGAGAGTGTGTGCTACTTTCAGAAGAACCGAGCCACTGCGTTCCTGAAGAGTGTGGTCAATATAGACTACTGGAGTGGCAAGCTCAAGGGCATTGAGGCCTCAGAAAATGAATTTGATAAGCAGTCTCAGCAGTACAATACGACAGAGTCCCGCGACAGGCTCAAGTCTCTGGTAATTGGTGTCAAAAGCATTGAGAAGGCTATCGATCGCCAGACAGAGCAGCAAAAGAAGCTGAATGAGGACGAAAGCAATAGACTATGTCTTCGAGCTCTCTATACAACTAATCCACTCTACGACAAGGAGCGGATTGAAGAGGAGAAGGGTGGACTTTTATCCCATTGCTATTCCTGGATTTTCCTTACCGATGGCTTCCAGACTTGGCGACAATATTCTGATTGCAAACTGCTCTGGATCAAAGGAGACCCCGGAAAAGGCAAGACAATGCTCCTATGTGGTATCATAGATCGCCTTGATGAGACGACACCGGGCTTGATTTCGTGCTTCTTCTACCAAGCCACCAGGAATCATCAGAATAGTGCTACAGCTGTTCTTCGGGGGATTATCTGGAGTCTTGCTCATCAGCATCCTGCTCTAGTCTCCCATGTGCGCAGTGAGTTTGATAGCGCAGGGGAACAGGCGTTCAACGGACCAAACAATTGGGAAATATTGTCCTCTATCTTGAGGAGGATGATATCGGACAGCAGCAATCGGGTCCCTGAGGGTACCACTATGGTAATCGACGCCCTTGACGAATGCACCAAAGACAACAAAAAGCTCCTCGATCTGATCGTGGACCTTTGTGCCAATGAGAGATCTAAAGTAAGGTGGGTTGTTTCGAGTCGTAACTGGGTTGAGTTTCAAGATGCCTTTATGAAGAAAACAATTGCCTCACAACGAGCCATTTTGTCTCTCGAGGACAACGAGGAAGCCAAGCAATCGATCAACAGGGCTGTTAATGCATACATCGAGTACAAGGTGGAAGAACTCGAGAGGATCAAGGAGACGAAACTCGAACCTGAGGTTCATAACATCTTGGCCGAAAAGTCTAGTAGTACCTTCCTCTGGGTGGCTTTGGCCTGTCAGAAATTGCTAAGCAGCGATATTGATGATTGGCAAATCCTCGATGAACTGAAGGGACTGCCATCTGGCCTGAAAGACCTTTATAGGCGCACACTGCAGGAGGTGAAGGATTCATCTCATGCATCGCAATGCAGGGACATCTTAGCAGTTGCCGCTCTTGTGCACCGTCCTCTATCATTGGCAGAACTGTCCTCTAGTACCCAGTCTCTCTCACAGCACTCGAACAGACTTGATGCCCTGAAGAAACAAGTCTTGCGTTGCAAAGGGTTCCTTGTTGTCACAGGAGACGTCGTCTCGTTTATGCATCAATCCGCCAAAGACTTCTTGTTGGAAGACCAACTTGCAAAGGAGTTCATCTGGGAAGGCAAGAAGGAGGAACAGATATCAGAAAGTATTTTGCGTGTTCGTCAGACTATCCTGATCGCGATGTTGGAGACGATGAAGAAGACGCTCAAGTACGACATTTACGATCTTCAGAAACCGGGCGCAGATGTACCGTATGTGGACCGCAAGGATGCCCTGGATCCCCTTGATTCGGTAAGGTATGCCTGTTGCTACTGGGCTGATCACATCGCGATTTTCGGTGACAAAATTGCGATTGCTACCCTTGAATTCCTTAAAGCATCAGTGCTCTACTGGCTAGAGGCTTGCTCACTGCTTGGAAAGGTGCCTATCGCACTGTTGGCGATTCAAAGGCTGAAAATACTAGCGGTAAGTCCCCGTTCTGTACGTCCCGCGTTCCTGTTCTGACGGACTTCCAGTCTGGTACAGAATATCGCGAATTGATTAGTGTCCTTCGAGACGTCGATCGGTTTGCCCTGTATTTCAAAGCTGCAATCGAACAGTTTCCTTTACAAACATATGCATCCGGACTATTCTTCAGCCTTAGAACTTCATTGGCAAGACGAGCATTCAAGCAACATACTCTCGAGACGTCATAGCTTGATCTACCCATCTCAGAGGACTGGAGTGCTTGTATTCAGACGCTCGAAGGTCATACATCTACAGTGTCCAATATGGCCTTCTCTGGTAACGGCAAATGGTTAGCGTCGACCTCTTATGATTGCACAATCAGAATCTGGGACGTGGCGACGGGTGTTTGTCTACAGACTGTAAACAGCCCTTATGTAGAGGTGCAAGCTATTGCATTTTCTAGTGACAGTTCCTGTCTTGCGTCAGCATCTGAAAACTGCACGATCGACTTTTGGGATACTAAGTCAGAGGAATTCAGCAAGACTCAGACAGTTGATACTCGAGGAACTGTTATTATTGGCCTTGTCTTCTCCCCTGATGATGAATGGCTGGCCTCTTGGTCGAGTGAGCCCAAGATTCAGATCAGAAATGCTAAAACGGGTGATTGTATTTACAATGTTACGGTTGAGCAACGACTTCCGATCGGGCCAGAAGTTCGGTTTTCCTTTTCATCTGACAGCCAGCGTATCTTGCTTGGCTCAGAACAGCCTGGCATCCGGGACATCTTTGGCTGCAAATGGACCGCTCATCCTGAGATTCACCCAGAACGGCTTTTGACATCAGCTTTCTCTTCAGACGGAACATGGGTGGGACACGCCTTTGGCGAGCATGGCCATTCGATTTGGACATTTTCTGAGGCAGACTCCCATCGAGTTGTCGATTTCCTGAAAGATGACGGGTACGCACTACCGTCCTCGGGCCAATATTCAGCAGGGAGACCGATGCCAACATCGCAGAGCCTCGGCTATTTTGAATGACGGTAAACAAGTTGCAACGTGCACTGAGTACCCCTTCCGACTCGCCATAGCGGATACCACTACTGGAGCCGTTGCATTTGCAGACCCCCAAACCGGAACAGAGGCTGGAAGAGGTCTTCCTATGGCAATGGCTTGGTCAGCCGACAGCCAGTGGCTCGCTGTTGGAGGAGTTGGAGCTAACGGCCAGATTGGAATATGGGATCCGAAGGCAATCAAAGATGGCAGCATGACGAATGAAATTCGCAAACGGATAAAGTCCATGGCATTTTCTACAGATGGTCAGATGTTTGCATCGGGCTCTGAAGACGGCATTATCGAGATTATGGATATGACACGTCCTGGCACCAGTTTGCTTACACTTAAGGGCCATGATTCTCCTGTTTATGCGATCATGTTCTCTACATCAGGAAAGATGCTTGCAACCCAGTGTGCGTTCTTGGTCAAAGTTTGGAACATTGAAGGTTCAGGGGAGTGCGTACACTCATTTCAGGCAGGTCAGATAGACCTTCGACTCACGACGACATGCCACTGGTCCATGGCATTCTCAGCAGATGACTCACAGTTCGCATTTGTTCAAGGAGAGCACATCATTGAAGTTCATGACCTTGCAGATCAGGGCATGTACGAACTTCAATCAGATCATGTTTCGTGTCTGGTATTCTCGCCTGATGGTCTCTCTCTGGCAGCTGGAGATATGCTTGGTAATGTCAAAGTCTGGGACTTACGGGCCAAAAACGCCCCGGAGTGGAATATTCGAATCCAATCTCTCATCTTCACTTGCCATTGCCTATTCGTCTGATGGGAAATTGCTTGCACATACAACGTCGACGGGGGAGATTCCATTTGGCAAATCGCAACAAAAGACCGCCTCCTGGAATTCAAGACTGAGTGGCAGATTGATCAATTGTCGTTCGGCCCAGATAATAGATCGTTCATGACTGAACATGGCCGTTTGGTACCAGACTACTGGCCATCTAATAACGAAGCTCGGAATGAAAGCCTCCAGAATAATGATGATCAACATGAACGGTCGAATGTATCATTTACCATTCAGGGCTATGGAATAGGCTTTGACGGAGCTTGGCTGACAAAGGATGGTGACAGAATTGTTTGGTTGCCACCTGAGCACAGGCCGAGCCCCCAAGCCCTCGTCATGGATTCAGTAATTGCAATTCGCAACAGGTCTGATGAGTTATCAATGTTTTGTTTTCGTGATTAAAATTCTTAGGTATTGGCATGTATATTTATTTGCATGGGGAGACGCAGTTGACTACATGCTAGAGTGCATTGTGTAATACGTCAAGTTGCTGTATTGCCAAGCCTTGTGAACGCTGTATTTTGGCTTTGGCTTTAATGTCGGTTGGGACTATGATATTGCCAGCTACTGGGGGTTTCTTGCTACCGCTAAATAGCCGAAGTGTATGGAGCGGCGCATAACCTTCGTCGCCTGCCTTTGCGTTACCCTTCTCGATGATCTTGGGGCCTTTCAAGCCGCGATGACCTAGAGTAAACCAAATCGGCGCTAGGTAATCGCCACGTGATGATACCCCGCGAAACTTGTTTCCCCAGATTCTTGCTAGACCTGGGTGGGTAATTGAAATCTAACAGTTCAAGCATCTTTCCTTACTTTGTACATGTCAAATCATTTCCTTGACTTATAATGGCAGAGCCAAACTCTACTGTATGTCTTCACCCAGGTATTCGTCTGCCGTATCTCTCTGCTAATGCCCTTTTGAAGCGCTCCCTTCAATGCCCAGAATGCACGTTGAAGTTTTCACGTCCAAGCCATCTCCATCGACATCAGCTCACGCACTCTGCATCCAATCACAGACAGCATATACCTTGCCCGTATTGCTCAAAGACATTCAGTAGACGCGACGTTCTGCTGCGTCATTTGCGCCATGGGCATCAGGTCCAAGAGCAAACCAGGCGATCAAGTCAGAAGTCGTGTTTTCGATGTGTTGAACGCAAGGCGAAATGTAATCGCGAAAGGCCCTGCAATGGCTGCATGCGATCGGGTAGGGAGTGTGAATATCCTGAGACAAATGATTTGGATGGCTGGGAGCCGAATGAGAACGCTTCTCCTACAGGACAGTCATTTCCTACTTCCGACGCGCAGCAAATACAAGAACAGCAGGATGAATCGATGACCTCTCAAGCGGATGATGAGACTTCGCCCCTTCAACATGAGATGAGGTCTGAAAGCCACTCATTAGGGGAATCAACAGGGACCATTCCCTTGCCAACGATATCTACGGTCCATCAAGTACCTGGTGCTCAAATCACGGATGAAGCTTGCCAGGTTGGTCCGTTTTACCTTCTGGATGATGAGCCAACTGTCTCGCCAACTATAGACATTCCACAGTCCTTCAATGTCTTTCCAGTGGATCCAGCCCATACAGTCTTTGAAGATACCTTTGCTCTTTCTCCATCTTCCATCCTTCCGGGACAGACTAGCTTTCGGACTGGTGGGTTTGACTGGTTGAACTTTGACATTGGCAACAGTCCTCAGGGCTTCCAGCTTGATACCTTTTATAACAGCTATATACCAGAGTTCTGGTCTTCCAGTACAGCCCAGCAAGTCCCCGAGTCGGGAGGGCCTAATAGCGGCGATATTGGCAATGGAGTGCAACACAAGATGGGCAATGGGGACTCGAGCCGGGGTTCACAAGAGGAGGGGCAACCAGACATCGAGCAAAACACGCTTGCGTGGCCTTTTGATCAGGCGCATAAGCAATCTCCTCATCGTTATCAGCTCCCTCCACTTCGCGATATCCTCAACGGTTATTGCCCAACAGACAGACCGCGACCTGTTCAGACAACACTTGTAAAAGGCTTTATTCAAATCCTCTCGGAGAATCCCCTTCCCCAGCTTGAAACCCTACGAGACGCTCACTCTATCCAAGCTTTTTGCAGCCTCCAGCGACTTGTTGACTCCTACTTTTCTCGATTCCACGATATTCAGGCGATCATTCATAAACCTACTTGGACCATGTCGGCTTGCCCGCCTATTCTTCTCACAGCCATGGCCTCTGTTGGCGCATTGCTCTCTGATAGCCAGTCGGATTACGAACTCTCAGTAGCACTGAGTGAGATCTGCTCTACAATGATTAACTGGATGGTTAGTTTTGACTCTTCGCCCACTGTACACAATACTAATTACCCAAGGGCGCCTCTGATGCTACCAACTACAGTGATGTCTCATATCTTAACGCCCTCTGTCTTTACCAGATCTATTCACTCGGTTCAGGGAAGAGACAGCTGTATCAAAACGCAGACAGGTCTCGTGGGTTGTTGATCGGTGGCCTACGGGGGATCGGTCTGTTAAATCCCCGCTCTTCGATCACACTGAGTCAGGATCACGAGACCATTCGAGGTTCCGAGGACGATCGTGTTCTCACAAATGATTGGAAGAACTGGATCAAAATGGAGTCAGGACGTAGGGCAGCCTGGGCAGCATTCGAGTACGACTGCAGTCTTTGCACTCTCACAAGTCGTCGAGGTATTGTTGACTTGAGCGAACTGCCATCGGAATTACCATGTCCTGAGTCCATGTGGAACGCCACTTCAGCACGAGCTTGGTTTGCTCTGATGTCTCGTCTTGGCCAAGACGACTCAAGACCAAACCTATCAAAAGTGCTGAAGCAAGCACTGGCTGGGAGAGAACTGCCGTCATCTTTGGGATCCTGGGCCAAGAGGCTTTGTGCGCAGGTAATCGGGCGGTTACTCTGGGATCTCTGGCAAATTGAGGTTGTCGCAATGCCCGAGTTTCTCGGCCTTGGGTCAATTGTGGCTGCGCACCAGGACACCAAGAGGTCGCTGCTCAAGGGCTTGAATAACTTGGTTGAATCTCTATCTTCGCCTTCATCTACGAGCGATCTTACTAGCTATAAGTAAGTAAGAAGTTCTCTTTAGGCATCAATTACTAACAGAAATACAGTATAGCCAGTCTCCTTTGCCACTATTCGCACTTGTGCGCGGCAAATGGCGTCCTCGATCTTATCCTATCCATCGTGCGGGGCCTCATCTCAACCGAACCGCGGATACATGACGGGATCAAAGTAGCCCGTAACCGTCTCAAGTTGACATTTGCAAGAGACCCAAAGACAGCAAGGAGACTATGCTGGCACGCAGCTCAAATCGTCGCAATCGCTAATGAATATTTGGTGTCTGCACCTTGCGAGATTATGCGAGTCTTTATGGGTTACATCTTCATCATTGCCTACTCTGCTTATGGGGATCATACTAGATCATCGCCAATGGAGGTCACTCAAAGTGTCAGGCTGGATCTGCATGATCAGAATCTTTCTCACAGAAGAGTCGTTGTTAAATGGATTGAGGTTGGAGGACCAGCTAGCTCTGGATCTGTTCCAGATATTGGTGCTGAAGGTTGCGTCCCTGCCATCAGCACCGATGCACAAGAGATATTGAAGAAGCTACAATGCTGGGGATTAGCTCACAAGTTTACCAAGGTCTTTCAGGTACTTGAAACGAAGGGGCTGTAATATAATCCATGGAGGTATCCTACTACTGCATTAATCAGGTTGAGGCGTTAAAATATAGCTATACAATTTGGAGGAGTACTGACGCCACCTGGCATGTTCAGAGGTGCCGACGTTATGAAGAATTCCCATCTCTGCTCTTCCTGACACATGCGACTGAGACCTTCAAGATCAAACAGCTCGCCAACTGGCATACCCCATCCTGCAATCAGATATTCATGCATAAATAAACCCTTGACTGAATCATTCTCTCCTCGCTTATAAGACGGCTGCGGAGGGTATACTTCAAAGGAAATGGCATCACTTGCCACGGCTGAAAAGCCTTGATTCCATATCCATTTTAGCATTTCTTCAGTGCCTTCGACCCCAGCATGTTGCGGGTTTGAGCTTTGCGCATAAGCCAACTTGTCAGCTGCTGTCATCTGCTGATCCCACTCCTTAACAACTCCGATTCTGATGAATAAGATATCTCCACGGAGGAACTTGACACCTTGTTCCTTTGCGACGTCGAGGAGTACATGGAGCGGGATAGAATGGTCAGAGAATGTCGTGTAAGGTATCGAATGACGTCGAGCGTATTCAGCATAGTCCAACAGAACACCACGACCGCAAATCCCCTCTTTGGCCCAATGCTGAATGCCTATGCGAGTGTTGTTTCTGTCTTGTATCTCACCCGACGTCATGCCTCCATAGAAGAGGCGACGGTTTGGGTCTGAGGGAGTTGGAGCTGGGGCGGAGAAATGGCGGAGCCCATCCCATTGTGACGACTGTTGAGGGTTGAAGATATATACATCATCATATGCGGCGCCGTTTAAAAGCGAGACAATGTGATGCTGGGCTGGAGCTCGATTGAAGTTGGCAATATCAAGCTTGGTCAGCTCCCAGTTCAAAGAGGTACGGCGACCTGTCTTGATGTATGATGCTGCTTTGGCTACCACTTCTGGTGTGAGCAGTACGAGACGGCCGAGACCTTCCTCCCTAGACCCTGGCTTGCCGGTCCAAACTCTTTTTGGGTCCGGCAGACTATTATAGTCTTGATAGTGCAATGAGGCTTTGCTAGTCGTAATCATGGAGCCCATGTTGGGAGATTTGGGGGAGCATATGTATGACGAAGCAGAGGAATAGATTTCAGGCTCAGCGGAATTGGACATTGATTACTTTTGCAGGGCATGCATTCTCTTCAAGAGACTCGGATGGGATCTCACTAAGCCAGAAGAGCGTAGCCTGGGAAGCATGATGCGGAGAAGGACTCAACCCCGTGGGGTCAGGTGCCATTTGCCGATTTTAGTCTGGGCACCTGAACCGGAGCGTGCCACTGCGGGGTTGGCAAGGTGCTACGCCCTCACATCAACCAGGAAACAGTAGTTGAATGCCGAGATTACTCATTTCATCCCAGGAAACTGGTCATTGGGTCATGTAAGCTAAAGGGAAGCTGTCAATCTTGGCCACCTCTTTTTCATTTAGTTACTCACTGTTGTAAATGCCTTGTCCAAGAATAAAAAGCGCATGTTGACATATCAGCCATCATGCCAGTGACACGTGGACAAATAGAGATTAGAGGGAGGGATTTAGCCTGTCAGCCCCGTTACCACGAATGGATAACTTAATGCTTTGCAATGAAGGGGTATCATGCAATTGCCTACTTACTACTTTATCTGTCATAGGCTTTCACGTAATATTAGCATGACTTTCTGCTTCCGACTGGCTTGTTTGTTATCCGCATGCATATTGAGGGTTGCCTGCATATGCAGTCCCTGAAAATGAGGCGAGTTGCAGGTAAACTAAAGCGGGGATCTGTCATGGTCATATCATAATACCTAGGTCAGAAGATAGAAAGACACTCTTTTTCCAGGTTTAATTCGTTTTTCTTCTTATACGGATTTCGGATTGAATCTCTCTGGACTTATCGTTAGTCTAAACACAAATATTGAAAATGGCTGAGGAGAACCCCTTGCCTCATACCTCGATCCTGCAGACCAGTTCGGCTTATCTACCTGAGTTTACACCGTACCAACCTAACCCTGCTTTGGACCACACCCCCGAGTTCCAGCGACGCACTTGCAAAGACTGCCAAAGACTGATATTGGAGCTCCTCGAACATCCAGCAGGTGACTCTCCAAGTGGATACGACAACTCTGAAAGTCATCGTGATGGGCTTCTGTCCACGTTAGTACACATTTCAGCCAGTTGCCGCATATGCGCCGTTATTTTCAGCCAGATTATATGCGATCGCGCTGACATTCAGCATGAATTCACTCATTATCACCTTTCTTTGTCACTCAAGAAGAATAGTTTCTGTGTCAGGCTCACAAAGGATTCCGAATTGGCCCAATCGGATAAAACCACAACGAAAAACATCTACGGCGAGTTTGCCCTTTATCGCAGCGAATTACCGAAGGAGTTTTCTTGGTTAGATTATGGAATTGTCTATACACCCACTTGGCACGAAATTTCGGTTAGTTGTCAACCGTATCTTGCGTCGCGAGATTATCCTTGGCATGAAAAGGCAATCGACGAAATCAAGGCCTGGGTGGATGCCTGTGAAACGGAACATGATCTCTGTCCCCAGCGACACTCTTCGGCGCTCCCTAAACGTGTCCTTCAAATTGCAAACGATAACGTTTCTCTCTACGTCTCTGAACGAAAGGAGGTGCAAACTGACGATCAACGCTACGTCGCTCTGAGTTACCGATGGGGGAATGATCTTCCCTTAAGACTAACAAAGGACACGATGAGCGACTTCATTGAAGGGCAGCCCATCTCAAAGCTGCCACAGACTCTCCAGGATGCAGTGCGCATCTCTCGCAATCTGGGCTTCAAATTTATTTGGATTGACGCCCTCTGCATCGTTCAGGATGATGAAAATGACTGGGTGGAACAGTCGGCCCTAATGGCTGACATATACCGGCATAGTAGCCTCAACTTGTGCGCCGCGGATTCAGCAGGTTGTGGCTCAGGAATTGTGGAAATGGCAGCGCCGCACTTGATGGAAGTTGCTGCTGCAACGACTCAATCTACGGATACTGGTTTGAGGGAAACAGTCGTTCTCGTAGGAGGACCCATCTCCAGGTACGTTATCGACTGGAGTGGATGTGGGCTTCTGTCCAGGGGATGGGTCTTCCAGGAGGGCCTCTGCTCCCCTCGTGGCCTCTATGTTAGCCGTCGACACGGCTTGTTGTGGGATTGCGGAACGATGATCGATATGATTGACAGCGATAAGCCGATACTGACCGGGGATGCTGATCATGCATTTAACCCACGAAACGAAAGGCGGTCCTTTTTATCTCTTACGAAACTTCCGAAGCATGACTCCATGGCAGTCCGAAACTTCTCTTTCACCTGGTATGACTGGACGAGTCTCTATACATCGAGATACCTCACGCGAAAAACAGATCGGCTACCTGCCGTAGCGGGCATGGCCTCTTATGTCGCCTCGCTGTCGGGAATGAAGTATAAGGCCGGATTGTGGGAGGAGGACATTCTAAGGGGATTGATGTGGCGTAGAAGCAGTTCGGGTCACGCCAATCGAGTACCAGGAGGCGCACCTACTTGGAGCTGGGCCTCCATCAACGGGCCAGTCTGCTACGACGCGTTCTTTACCATGCTTGTCAACAAACGTGGGAAGATTGACCATCATGCTGAGTTGGACTTCGAGATTACGGATACGATCATCGAAGAAGAGCAGGCAGGTACATTTGGGAATGTACGGCGCGGAGAGATCAAGGCCTCTGGCGTCTTGAAGCACGCGGCTACTATGCTGCTGAGGGAACAATGGGAGCCAAAATGGGGATTTGATATACAACCTACAGAACCAGAAGCTGACGTCCTCGAACACTGCCAAGTACTGCGACTCGCGAGAGTCTATCGGGATAAGCAGTACACCTGCCCGGTTGTCTATTTTCTGATCATCCGGAAAACAGGTCGACGCGAAAATGAATACCAGCGCGTCGGCCAAGGGCGTATCGAGCTAAAATACGACCAACACCCGAATCGTTTACGCTTCTCGTTTAGGGAATGGGAAAGCCCAAGGCTCAAGCCAGGCCCCCCAGAGGAGAATATGTGGGGGGAGCCTGAGAAAGTTGCAATGACTCTTGTTTAAGAGGGAAGAGGACTGGTAGAGTTATGTCAATTATTGGCCAAGTAAAGGCCTGGGTTCCATGCATCCTAGGTCTACATCATAGCCTTGCTCTTATCTGCTGATTCTTCCATATGAGTAATGTCCAGCTTTCCAATATACTCGTCAAGCTCCTTGCGCTGCTCGGTCGGAACATCGTGGACGTGAACGGCAACGTCATCGCCGAAACGGGCAGAAATCTCCTCAAGTGATAGTTTGGCAGTCTCGGGGAAGTACAGGTACACGATGGGTATGAAGAAGATGCACCAAATAATGATGACCAGGTAATACTTCCAGCCGATGTTCACGAACCCAATGGGCGCTGTTTGAAGCAGAATGATAGTGCTTGTGAACTGGCCGAACAGAGAAAATCCCATGCCAATAGGGCGAATCTCGGTTGGGAAGATCTCTGCAACGTAGATGTACATCGTTGTATCGCAAAAGGTTCTTGGAAAATTGTCAGCTGACGAAAACTCCCAGTTCGGTTGGAGAGACTTACCCTTGGAATGCCAGGTATAGAAAGACAAAGAAGACACCAGCTGCATTACCAGCCTTATTTGCAGTTCCGGAAAACTCAGAGATACAGGCAGCAAGCCCACTCGTGGTGATCAAGCAGCCAAACAAGCCGGTCATAAACATCCATCGGCGTGAATTAATTTTATCGTGAAGCCAGGCGCCGAGCGGGTTGTAGATGACGCCAGCGGTCGTAAGCCATAAAGCCGAAAGTAGCAGAGGCATAGATCCAGTTTGACCGAGATTGGTGTAAAGAATGACTGAGTAGTTGTTCTGACAGTGTTAGAATCTGAAGGAAGTGTCGATTAGCAAGCATCAACTCACGATGATCAATGGTCCAGCGAACTCGGCTCCCCATTGAGTCAGGAAGCCTATTGCCAACCGTTTTCGATAGCTCTTCTTCTTGAGGACTGCCATGAAAGGTCCGCAGCCTAGTGCCTTGAGTTTGGCCGAGTCGAGAGCCAGTTGTTCCTTGATCTGGTAGATCTCTTCGCGAGCGACTAGGTCGTTTGGATCGTCAGGTGACTTTCGCAAGTTACGAACAACCGTCCATGCTTCTTCGATCCGACCCTTCTGTAACAGCCATCGCGTAGACTCCGGGATCCAGAAAGACGTTGCCAGAAGGACAGTGGGAGCTAGACATTGCATGCACAGTGGAAATCTCCAAGCAAAGCCGGGCATGCTTGCTGTTGCAAAGTAGCAGGCATACCCGAGCCAGCCTGAGAGCATGTAGCCAAATACTAGAAATATGGCGTGGTGTCCAACTAGCCATCCGCGTTTGTCGTGTGGTGCGAGCTCTCCCATGTACATGGGGCAGACCGTGACGAGGATTCCGATACCGATGCCAGCCAGGATTCGGCCAGCTTGGAACATGCTGTAGTACCAAGTCAGTTTGTTGAAGCTTACCGACACAGCCGTAGGATCTATGTCAAAATATAGACAAGACGCACCTTAGATTTGCTGCACCGCCCTGTAATGCTCCTCCCAGCAACGCAAACGCTCCGCCAATCTGGATAGACCTCTTCCGACCCAGTGCAGTAGCAGCCCACATTATAAAGAGCGTGCCAATGGCGCCGCCCGCGCTGTAGATCCCATTCGCGGTCGAGATAGCTTCAGTCGTCTTAGTACTGTAGCCAGGCTCGCCTGCCTGAGGCAAGTCGAAGAAGTTGTACCATCCTGGCTGTCCGATTGTGCTGCCAATGACAGAAGAGCAGTAGCCGTATGTCTGGACAAAATGAGCATGATGCAGCTAAATGTGTAAAGCGCGTCAGGATAACTTACCAGGGACCCAAAGGCGACCGCGACAGTGACCAGCCTGTTGTAAGCAGTTGTATGCTTACCCATTGCTAGTGGGTTGATACCAGAATGCTCAAGGTATTGATGATGTTGCTGTTTAGGTATGGGTTCGTCGTGCTGTGACAGTCAAGCGAGGCAATTCTCAACTTATCCCTTGACGATGGCTTCTTATAAACGAATGACTCTCTAGCAATTATCGGTCTGGGCTATTGTGTGAAGAATGTCATTCGTTTACCCCGTTACCCCGGATTTCAGGAGCTCGGTAGTCCACTTTCTCCACAAGCAAAGCGAAGCAGCAGCGGGGCAACTCCGACGTGGCTGGCAAGTCTTCGGAGCGTGCCACTTTCTGGGGAACTTGGCTTGACCTTCGGCAATGCTTGCGCCAAAGCATACCAAAGTGGCGCTGTGATTAAGGAAATGGCATGTTATATTACTTTGCTGGGATCTTTTCTTGGTGAACCGCTTTGTGAAGGCCTCTTGTGACCAGCAACGTATTCGCTGCTGGGGGGGACTCTATGCGCCAGGTCTTGGCTACGACTTCTATCTCGCTGACAAATATAATTATTTACTTACAGTTGAGGCTTGTAGCTGAGAGCTTAGATTAGTCAAGACAACTTAGAAGTGACCATGCACATTGATGTTGAGTGATTCTCTTTTTATCTCAATCGCGATTCTGTAAACCGTTGAGCAATGATTTTAAACGATCAACACAGGATGTCTCGAGCTCAGCAGTTTTCTCGTTTTATGACAGAGTCCTACAGTATGAAAAAGAGGAACGGCCTTGAAGATTATTGGATATAACCCATACACTTACTTATTAGATAAATAAAAAGACATAGTTCTAGTAGGTATCTTTAATACTTTTAATATGCTGTTTTATCTGCCCCAGGGTAGCGAGATAAGACAAGAGCTCTGATAAGATAAATTGTCAATCGATAAGTGATAAACGATAAGCGATAAGCCTGTTCACCGCCAATGGAACAATCCGGCGCAACGCGGTGGGGTTCCGATCATGTGTTTTGTCGTGATCCAGCTTGACTAAGCGATATTGACCCTGTTTTGGGTTTAGTGCGGCTACAGATAAGCTCTCTGCGGAACTGCCAGGCACGGAGCTACGGGCCCGGAGCCGTATCCCGTATCATTTGTGCTAAGCTGCGTGTATGCCGAGAATGCTCCGTCATGGCTTGGTATCTATATAAACAGAGGAGAAAAGTTGTCATTGAACGATTCCTCTCTGTCTTTGTTCTTGCAATTATACCAAATTCATCAGAAGTAAACAACCCTGAATTGACAAGTAAAAGAATGTTCCACTAACCTATCTATAGTGTCAAACAAGATCGTTCCTCTTACCATCATCAAGGGTGCCGGCCACGAGCACATCCCCATCCCCGATGGCGAGTGCGCTATTATTGCCGACTTCCACTCTATCAAGAGTCAGCGCAACGACTCTGATCACTATCTGACCACCGGCTTCTACAAGGTCGTTCCTGGACCTACACGATATGGATCCTACGATTACGAGGAGACCAAATATGTCCTCAGCGGTCAAATTGACGTGACTGTAAAGATCCCCCTCCTCGCGGCTTGGAAAGTACATGATACTAACTACGGATAGGATGAGGCTACTGGTATCACTCACCATCTTGTTGCCGGAGACTGGGCCTTCTTCCACGTTGGCTCCAAAGCTCAGGTTAGTCCCCCTCCCCCCATAGCTTTGCGAACCATAGCTAATCTGTATTTAGTTCTCCACCAGGTCGCATGGCGTTGCTTTCTACGCTGTCACTCGACCTGCCAACGACACTCCTCACATCAACCTCAAGGGCCGTGAGGAGAGCACTTCCAAGTTGTAAAAGTTTAGCGATTCCATAATCCATCAACAGAAATTAATGAATGACTATTTCCGTGACAGAAAAAATATAAAAATCAGAGCCCGGTCCATGACGAGCTTGTGTTTCCAGTTCTCAATTCTCAGATCCTATATTATTCGGTCATAATCTGAGATTATTTGGCCGGCTTGCGGCCATACACCGAGATGCTGACACGAGTTAGCTCACATAGCATGATGGCGATAAGGCTCAAACTCACATTGGCCAGTATGCATGAATCCGAGGGTCATTGACTTCTTTTCTGGCTTGAGCGATGAAAACAGTGACCTCTTCTCTCGACCATCCCAAAGCCCGCGTCAGTGGAGCTATCGCCACAGCCTCAAGGAAGAAATTCGCATTTTCATTGTTCCATACGCCTAATTCTTTATGCTTCTTGTCTTTAGGCCATCGGTTGCTTGGCCACTTAAACTTTGCTTCCGTTACATCCTCAAAGCCAACCTTGGTGAGAATGTCCTTTATGTTGCTCGGGTCGAAGTATGGTCTTCCTAGTTTGACAGATGCATCGTATAGAAGCTGGGCCCACTGCCATAGATTGTGCTGAGGCGTCAGGGTACCGTCGTCGGATTTAGTAAAGACATCGATCTCCTGTAGCTCTGTATAGCCACCTGGCTCTAGGTTCCTAAAGCGAGTCAGCTTTGTAGGATGAATGGATGAAAATGTGGAGAGCCGCACTCGAAGATCTTGGTAGCGTAGCTTTCCCAGTCTGCGACACTAGAGTTCATCATTCGACTATGGATATAGTCAAACTTTGAAGAGTACTGCCACTCCTCTTCAATATCGTCAATGATGAATCGGACATTTGGAGGGACACTGACACTGTTAGCTGAGCGAGAAAAGAGGTAGAAGTATCCATACAAGCTGGGCTGAATGGGAGACAGGTCGACTCCAATGACCTGGGAGCGTTAATTGGTGCCAGCAAGGAATAGTTGAGGAACGAACCTCTGCGCTTGGATGGTCATCTGCATAGTCCATGACCCAGATTCCAGTGCCAGTGCCTACATCCAGAACATGCTGGACTTTGGCTTCGGGCTTGCAAGGAGGGGCAAAGCCAAGTCTGTCGTCAAAGGTTCGAAGGAACAGAGCATGTTGCAAATCTACATCATTTAGCAAGGATATTATCAGGTTTAGTGGCTTACATACCGAGTCTTTCGTTTTCCTCCTCGTCATTGGGGACATTGTATTCTATATGGTCAGCAACCGTCAGTTCCACCAATCGCTGAACTCACTGCCATCTTTGTATCCGTGATAGGTTCTCCCATTTTCCTGGCGGTACTGAAGAATGGAACTGCTTATACTTTGCGTTGATGGCTCCACTTCCTGAGGGTAGAGAAGACAGTATGTCAGTTTATTCCCCGTTTGAGAGCATTCAGTTTGAGGGATTGCACGTACTTCGTCTTGTCCAGAGTCATGATCTTCAAGGACCTTGAAATTTTGTTCTATCAGAGAATGCAATCAATCATGATATCAGCTTCTTACATTCTCACTGTCGTCAGCAACGAGCGGCTGATTATCCGCAGCTGACATGTTGAACTTGTGAAGTCGATTTAAGGACACGCCAAACGTGAAATCAAAATATGAGAGGGGAAGAGAGAAGAGGAGAAAATCCGGGATCCGAAATGGACATGAGCTTTGTGTTCAAGAAAAGCCAGGGTTGCTGATCTGATTCGTAACCATATTGACACGTCAAATTCGGCAGCCAACTGAGTGGAGTATCAGAGCGTCAAGAGTCTCCGTGATTCGCTCTTGATCTGAACTCATTGACATGTTGGGGCAGGGTTACATTTTACAAGACTGTACCAATAAAAGAGCAAGATGTTGCATGATATGACAATTGTTTTCCAGGCAATTGCAGTAAGAGTATTGCCGCTCCTCATTGATTAAGATACTCTATTTACAGCTAGCAATAACAGGTAATAGTAAATAACTATCCCACTGTTTGCCTGTATGAATCTGATGCCTCCCAATATTATCATCTACAGGTTTCTTATTCCGAAGAACCTCAAGCTCTGGTAGTCGCAACTCATGTCCAGCAACCCTCAGAACAATTCCCTCGCCACTTTCAAAGACCATACCAATAGGCCATAGAGGAATCTCAAGATCTATAATAGTTCCCGGGGGGATCTTTTCTAATCGATTGTGCTTATACCTCGGGAGCCCGTTTACAATTTCCTTCGAGACTCGATGGCTGGCCTTTAACATCCCATCGCAACCGAGAAACTTAGCGACATTCGTATTGGCGACCTCCTCGGCCGGTACAGGGCATGGGTAATTGAGGCTGGTAAGTAGTTTTCCATTGGCGTCAATCTTCCGAATCTGTATGTTCACGTCCATGTCGTCATGCTCGTCACACGACATCCATAACTTGACTACAGGATATCCAGAAACCTCTGTATACTCGTGGAAACGAACGCTGAAGTCTGTGCAGTCAGTCATATGATGTGCTTCATAGCTGGTGCTTGATTCAGATGCCGGTTTCTCGAGTGACAACGACAAAGTTGTAGCGTCGAGGAAGAATTTGCGATACTCGGTTCCCGGGACCGGAAAGGCGGCCTCAGCGCGCTCCACGATAGTCTTTGCCGGACTGCCGTCAAAGCCAAGAAGGGAGAGTCGGAGCCTTGGGGTTTGCTCCCAATCATTCGAGATTCCTTTGCAATACCTGTCGAAAAACTTCTGGAGCTCGTCGTTATTCTTCTTGCGATATATGTCGTACCCTAACGTCATTAGTCGGATGAGTCGTAAGTTCTTGAGGATAGCTTACATTCTTGCGTATGATGAACCCGGAGCCACTTCTGAGTGGACTTTGCCTTGGCGAAAGTCTCAAACGACCCGCGAGAGTGAAGACAGGTGGAATAAGATGTCGTGAGATACATTGGGAGGTCAATATTTTCGACTGGGATGACCTTGGTCGCCCAGTACTCGTCAAAGAGCGGTCGTTTCTCAACCATGGCACCGCCGTCTTCCGCTCCCCTATTACCAGTCATTGTCTGATACAACATTCTCATGAATCCGCTTCGGGGAATGCCACCCCGGGCCATGAAATCGTTGTATCCGTCAGTCGCAGCCTCCCACGGCGCAATTGCCTTTAAAGCCGGATGAGGGTTTCGAGCAGCAACGTTGACCTGTGCGGTAGCAAGCCAAGAGTTTCCAGCCATACCAACACACCCATTACACCATGGTTGCTTAGAAACCCAGTCAATAAGGTCGTGCAAGTCAAAGGCTTCCTGATCTCCCCACTGGGCGATATCTCCTTCAGAGAACCCAGCGCCTCGAGCGTCAGGGTTAATGACGGCATAGCCTCTAGCACACCAGTCGGCTGGATCAGGAGCCTCGAACTTTTCGTATCCGGAAGTTTGATCCAGCTTGAGACCACAGCGGAACGGTCCCATATGATCGTATGAGTGACCCTCTGTATCAATCAGCTGTTTGTAATCCGCATGAATGTGTAAAATGAAAGGCATACTGCTATCCTTTCCATAGGGACTCCATGCTATAATCGCAGGGACCTGGCCACCCGGATCGCTTGAGCTCGCGGGCCGAAACACATCAGAGTAGATTTTGATGCCGTCACGCATCAGTACTTCCACGTCCCTGGCGAAGACAGACTCGACGGTGAAGGGTCGCCGCCCTTCCGCTTTGACGTGGCCAACAGGTAAGTGAATCGTAGCGGGATCAAACCCAGTTGGTTTCCGAAGGGGGCAGAAGGCCAAGTCAGGGAATCGTCCTTTGAGTGCTTCCATGATTTTAAGCTTGAGGGTGAAGTAAGACGAACGGTCTCTGATTGCGATTATATCTCCAATAGTAGTTAGATGCTTGAGTCTACTGTGAAGCATTTTCTTGTGGAGGTTGGGTGCTCTGCTAATATATTTATATATAAACTCGTGGCGATATTTCCATCGCAATATCGCTTAGAGTCACCGGTCGCTCGCGACTTAGGTCGGCACGAACAGATGTCCGAGTGCGATGAACTCATGTTTAGCCGGCGTCTCTCCACAGTCCCGCTCAGCGAGGCCAGAGTGCTGTGGTGATTGAGGAATCGGACGTTGACTCTTGGTCTCGCTTTCTGACTTTCGCCGATAATGGCCGACATATAGCGAACAGTCGGTACAGTTTTACCCGTTCTGGGCGGCCCTAAAATTACACGGGCCGGTAGGATGGTATTGTAGGTAGGGCCTACCTATATCCGAATATCCGAATATCCAATTGCCTTAGTAAGGTCGAGCTTTTAAGTCTAGATGTAAATCAACATTTAGCTATGGGTTTCAGTTAGGTTGACACTAAACTATAGAGACTGCTATAATAGGTAAAGGCAATAGATAGCAGGCAGTACGGACTGATTGGCATAGCCGCTGACACGCCCTTCCCTACCTCGAAGCTGTTGATAAGCAGCGATTCGAGTGAGATGCATGATGATAATTGTTTTCCAGGTAACCGCAGTGAGATGTTATGCTACTGCAGCTTGCAGAGTCGCAGAGTACAGTGTCCTGTCCTCTATGCCAAAATAGCCATCTCGTTTCTGTAGACTCTTTCACATTGAAAAGTCGATCAGAGCCCAATTGATGCTGCTTCCGTTTTCTCCAAACTCTTGTGCTCCCGCGAGAAGTTCATTGATCCAACCAGTCTCATTGATCGGAGACGAAAACAGGGTCAGACCTGGGAAGTCCCATTCGAAGACAAACTGATCTGGGACAAAAGACTCAAGCTCGTTATCGCAATTCTTCTCTTGGGCCAGAGGAAAGGTTGACTGTCCTCCTCTGGGGCCTCCTTCGTTTTGGCCTAGCCAGCGCTTGTACTTCTGTATACTCGTCTTCAAAAGTTGGAGGTATAGTGAGCTGGTATTTGATCGAGTGTCGTCTTTATGTCCTGCGGCAGCGACTAGCTCTAGTTCCTGTAGCAAGATGCCGGCTTTCATAACAAGCTCATTGCTAAATCCCTGTGTCTGCAACCTTTCTGCTTCGGGGAGTAAAGCGGACAGCTTGAGCAGAAGAAGGCAACAAAAGGTATTTTTTGCCCAGACAAAGTCCATTGCATACCGAATACTCTTAAGATATATCCTTGGTTCTTGGATGATAATATCAAGATGCTGCTGAAGGGAAGCTTTGGTCATTGACAAGATGTTCTTCTGGATGGGCGACATAACGTTGACGTTCTCCACGCCCGCAGCCCTCACCGCACGGCAAAGAGCCATGTTATCAGCCCAGCAGCGCTGTACTGAGAGGTTAGGCACAAACCAAGGCATCGACTCATGATGCGGCTGCGAAATGCGTATCCAGTCCTGGAACCAGACATCGATGTCGAGTTTGGCATCTTTCACTAGATCAAGAATCTCTTCGTCGCTCAGATTGGCACCTTGGGGTAAAGATGCATAGATCTTTGCACGAAGAACGTTGAGTTCGACTTGAGCAAAGAGATAATGATCCATCCCGGTAGCAAGCGGACTTTGTAGGAGGACTCTGCATCTGCGTGAAGCACCTCGGAACTTGAACGTTGGCATTCCACCAGCATCCACATGTAGAATGTAGCTCATCACTAATAAATGGAGCCAAACTCTAGTCTTGCGCATGCGCATAATGTTGTGGTTGTAGGTAGTTTGGTCACTGTTGGCCATCTGCATTTCTCCCAACACGGCTTCTGCAATGAGTGTATCGTAGGCTTCAGGGAATCCAAGATCCAAAGCCATGCGTGTCGCAATCGCAATCAGGAGGGCCCTCTCTCCCGCATAGCAAGCTTGAACTAGGATAGCCTGTACTGTCTCAAGGCTTCCCATCAACGGATTGACGATAGCAGCATTGAGCATGCGTTGAGTATGAAGCGCGAGAGCTCGCCATCTCGAGCTTGTGCCATTTAGTACACGACATCCAACTGAGCATATTGTGATACATAGCAAAGGACTTTGACTTCGAATAGCTTCAATCGTGTCAAAGCGCGGGTCAAAGACAGGAACGTAGCGGTCACAGCCGGAGAAGAAGGCGTTGAAGTACAGCTGCGCCTCGTCATCCTTCATCTCAATCCCGAGCTCGGCAGTTGTAGGGGCTATTGTATCGGTCTCGAAGGCTGACCTTGATCTTCCTTGTGACCTGGTAAGGAATGCAGCAGTGTCTGGAGAGCTCGTGCTGGTCGATGCCACGGGTCCCGAAGGGATTGTTGTTGGAGCCGATGTGTATATAGCATGAGCCGCGATCTCCGTACGACTCGCTGTGATAAATGGCGACTGATTCTCCGCTGAGTAGGTAGTGGGTGAGCATTCCATCATAGGTGCCTGAGTTGATTGCAGTCTTGACTTGAGAAACTCGATCTCTCTTTGAAGCGCCTCGATCTTTCTGTGATGACATTAGAAACATTCTTGTCAGCGGCGACAAGGAAGCCAAACAGTTCATGGTCCTCTTTTGGTTTCTGGGCGAATTGGCATGTCTTTTGAAGTTGACAACATCTACATTGCCCATTAGCACCGCGAGTCCACAGCCTTCTACACAATATACACACCGAGAACATGGCCGCGAGCCATTGCACTTGACCTATTCAAGATGTAAGCTGCGTACGTCCAGAGAGTTCCCTAAGTGTCTACTGACTTTACTCTGACGACAAGCTATGCATGCTTTCTTAAAGACGTATGTTAGCTTCTTTCATCGCAGGGCACAGGCAATAACTAGATGTCGAGGTTCGCTGGTTTCAAAGCAAGGCGGCTGTACCGGTAATCTTTTCTTACGGATCCGTGAGGATGGGGCTGTTTGTGAAGTTCCCCCCTCTGAAGGCTGATGGATTTTTGACATGCTGATCTTGATTCATCTTAATACGTGAGCCTAGACTGATATTGAAGGCTGGAACACGCTTCTCGTGATGATCCTTTGCTCTCTGGCGAATCATGTTTGCGCGGGGAAATCCAGAACCGAAGTCTTGTTTTGACGCCTCAGGCAGGAATATGCTTTAATATCTGCTGATAGGTCAGGAAGACATATATGTGGAGCTTAACTCTTAGTTCTCTACAGTAAGTTCATGACGATCTGGATATCCGTTGTTTAATGTCTGGATCAAACAGCGTAAAACTCATCGTTGTTGGAAGAACTGTCTCAAAGTCACTCGGAGGTCAATCGGGCTATATGATCATCAAAAATAATGCCGTTGCTGGCTGTCGGAGTGGACTTTTTACCCCGTGGAGACGCTCGGCAACGAAATCGGACTTTTTGGTGTTTTCTCCGACTCGATCGTGAGGGGTTTAGTACCGAACAGGTCACGCGGCAGCGCAGAAACGGACTTGGTCAGAGTTCTCCGGGGATGGCGTCGGACGAAGTGAAGCAAGCCCGATGTTGGCTTCTTTTTGGTAGATGTTTGCTGTAAATGAGGCGATACTTGCATCCCGAATCCGGCAATGAATGCATGTTGCGACAAGTTAAAAGAGGAACGTTCCCTCCTCTAATGCCCTCTTTCAATCGTTCACTATTGAGTTTTCACATCAAACCTCGATTATTGATTCATCATGCCTCAACGTGAACGCATTCCTTCTTCGTGGACTGTCGAGGCAGCTGGCAAAGACAGCACCAAGCCGTCTGTCCACTTGCGTTGCAACGATGCCACTCTACCCTTTGAGTTCAACTTTGAAGCCGTCCGTCCCAACGTCTTCAGAACAACCTTCACATCCGCTACCCATCCTCTACCGCCTCGTCCCAGCGTCCCTCGTGCTGAGACAAAGCTAGACGGTGCTCAGCCAAAAGTCACATCGAATGACAAGGGTACCAATATCCAGATTGGTGATGTGATCGCCAATGTCGACTACGCCGGAGAGACTCCTCTTCTCTCTGTAGGCTTCGATGGTCAGCCACCAATTCTCCAAGATCTCGACAACAGATCTTATGCTGTCAATGGCGACGGTGTCGCTCATTACACTCAGTACAATCGCAAGACGTTCCATGTCGGTCTTGGTGAAAAGGCTGCGCCAATGGATCTCTCAGGTCGCCGCTTCCAAATATCAGCAACCGACAGCTTTGGATACGACGCCCACCGAACTGACCCTCTCTATAAGAACATCCCCCTCTTGATCAATGCTACGCCCCAAGGCTGCGTGGCTATGTTCTCTACCAGCCATACTCGAGGAGAATACTCCATCGGCTCTGAGATGGATGGTATGTGGGGATTCTACAAGGTCTACCGTCAGGACTTTGGAGGCCTGGAAGAGTATATCATCACCGGAAAGACTCTCAAAGAAGTTGTTCAGACCTACGCTGATCTCGCCGGTTATCCTCTCCTCGTTCCTCGCTGGGCCTTTGGTTATCTCTCTGGAGGCATGAAGTATTCCATGCTCGATGACCCCCCTGCTGGTGAAGCCTTGATCGAGTTGGCGCACAAAATGAAGGAGCACGACATTCCTTGCTCGGCTTACCAGATGTCATCTGGATACACCGTGGCTGAGCAACACCCCAAGAACCGACACGTTTTCACCTGGAATCGTCACCGTTTCCCTGATCCCGAGAACTGGATCAAGGAGTTCCATAAGCTGGGTATGCGTACTATTGCCAACGTAAAGCCATATCTTGTTTCCAGTCATCCCGAGTACCAGAAGCTCAAGGATGCTGGTGGTCTCTTCCTTGATCCTCACACCAAGGAGCCAGCTGTCACCAAGCTTTGGAGCGCTGGAGGCGGTGAGAGAGCCAACGGTGGTCACATTGACTTCACTTCTGAGGCCGGTTACAACTGGTGGTACAATGGGATCAAGAAGCTTGCGGAAGAGGGTATCGACTGCATGTGGAACGACAACAACGAGTACACGATCCCCGATGATGAATGGGAGTGCGCCCTCAATGTCAGCAAGGATGTACTTGAGGTTCCTGAAGGGCTTGAGAAGCGACCTCAAGTCGGCCTTTGGGGTCGCAGTTTACATACTGAGCTCAACGGCAAGGCATCTCACGATGCTCTTCTCGCTGTCAACCCTGACTCTCGTCCTTTCGTTCTCACACGCAGTGCCACAGCCGGTACTATGCGTTACGCCTGCAGCTCTTGGAGCGGTGACAACACTACTAGTTGGGATAGTATGAGAGGCTCGACTGCTCTCGGTCTCAACGCTGGCCTCTCCCTGATGCAGTGTTACGGACATGATATTGGTGGTTTTGAGGGTCCTCAGCCTGACCCTGAGCTTCTCCTTCGATGGGTCCAGCTTGGTATCTACTCTCCTCGATTCGCCATCAACTGCTTCAAGACAGGCGAAGACAACTCGATCGGTGATGTCATTGAGCCTTGGATGCACCCATCTATCACTCACCTTGTCCGCAAGACTATCAAGCGTCGCTATGCATTGATTCCTTATATCTACTCTCTGTCTCTTGAGAGTCATCAGACTGCTTCGCCGCCCCAGAGATGGATCGGTTGGGGTTACGAGTCTGACCCTGAAGTCTGGAAGCTGCTCGATGGAGAGAAGCAGTACTGGTTCGGTGACTCCATGCTCGTCGGTGGTGTCTTTGAGGCTGGAGCAAGCAAGGTCAAGTTCTACCTACCCAAGGCGTCAGATGATGATGAGGGTTACCTGAACCTGAATGCACCTTACCAGTATCTTGAGGCTGGTCAATGGGTTGACCTTGACGTCGAGTGGCATGGTGCTGGCATCCCCGTTCTCGGCAAGGTTGGCCGCGCCGTCGCTGTTGGTCGAGACGTACAGGTTCTCTCTCCTGGTGAGAAGAAGAACGTGGCAAATCTCCCTCTTGATGATTACCGGGGCGTGGAGATCTTCCCTCCTCAGAAGGCATCTCGCGATGGCAAGTGGCATGAGACAACGTGGTATGAGGATGATGGTACCTCTGTCTCAACCAAGAATAAGATCTCTTCTTACACCATTGCTTACTCGGCTACGGAGTCTGAGATCAAGGTCAAGTTTTCCAAGGATGAAGGTTCTGGTTTCCAAGCACCTTGGAAGTCACTTGTTGTCATTCTACCCTTTGGCGACTTGAGAAAGGTCATTAGTGAGGATAAAGAAGTCGTGGACTTAAGCCTAAGCACAGAGGGCAAGAAGCAATATGAGCTGAAGTAGAGTTTTGGAGGCAAAATGACAGTCAGTTGGAGACATAAAAGCCAGTAATAATCAACATTAGTGTGCATAAAGAGTTCGTTGGATCAATTCAAGTTAAAATTCTACTGGGTTCCCTCTGCCGGAATAAGCTCACAGCCACAAGTCTCAACTGCAAATAACAGTTCTGTTAGAATTCTACATTGCTTTGCTGTGTCAATTCACACGTCGTGAACACGTAATTCTCATTGTCTTCACTAAATCGTATGTATTAACATGACCTATCTAGAAATACCACTCCTCCTTGATGCTGAAGACCTCAAGTTACCGCATATTGCTTTGGAGTTGCAAGGCCAGCACGGTGCTTGCGAAACCATCAAGACTCACTCACGTATCCTCCGATCTGTGAAGTTCAAGCCACTTTGCCGTAGACAAGAGCTATTCTCAAGGGGTAAACACTAATGATGTAGTACTGATTTGTGCGGGGTAGTAGCACCAGAGATCGTCGACAGGATGTCGGGGTTAGCGTCTTGGAGATCCTCCGCAAAGTCGCAGATCTTCCGAAGTAATACAAACCCTCCGCCGAGTACCCAGGTCTCCGGATGCTCTCGGATCGTCGCCACCCAATTGAGGACAATGCTGACACCTCAATACGTCTGAGCTGTAGTTAGAATGTCATTCTCGCGGAGTCGACTTGGTTGTTTTGCTGTGACTGCAAGACCTCGCTGGCCTAGCTCACATATCACTTGCTCTCAACCAACTGGCGGCTGAGATCATAGCACTAGGTCCTCAGTTGACTCAGATCAAGAGATAGACTTATGCCTCTTCTTAGTTGTACTTTCAGACAATAGAAGAAGGATCGCTAGTACCAGATTGTACTTGGTCGTCTTCGCAGAAGCTTTTGCATTTTGCCTCGGGATGATGGCAACATGTGATTCTGAGTAAAGAACTTGGGCGATCCCCCGTGCTTTGCCAACAGGTCCTTCGATCGGACTAACTAGACTACCCAATGAATCGGAGTAACTGATGTCGCACGGATCGGGGTAACTACATTACCCCACAAATCGGAGCACGCTCCCGCCCAGCTCGGCACTTATAAAATTGAAGGTGCTGCATGTACTAATACTCACCACATATTTCCCAACAAACCACAGGGTACTCAGTTTCGCTCGGCATGGCGTACTCAAATTGGTTGATCTACGGAGCACTGCTTACTGGTCTCACCCTTTTTCATCTCATCAGGTCAACATTTCGAGCTGGCCTCCGAAATATCCCTGGGCCATGGCTCGCTAGATCCACAGGCCTGTATCGGTTGAGTCTCGTTTATAAAGGCGATTCCCCTCGGCAGTATCAACTGATACACGAAAAGTATGGTCCTATTGTGCGCACAGGACCAAACCATGTCTCTATCTCGGATCCCGCCATGATACCTGTTGTATACGGCATAGGAAAGAACTTTCAAAAGGTGGACGCCGTCTTTATACCATTGAACAGTTCACTGATATAGATCAAGACCCCCTTTTACACAACGATGTCCTTGATGTACCAAGGGCGGCGAATGGACAGCATGTTCACGGAACGAAATCCCAGCATTCACAAGGCCTTGAAAGGCTCAGTCGCGCAGATATTCTCCATGACAAATATGCGTAATTTCGAGGTGTATGCCGACGAATGTAGCGCCATCTTCTTAGATGCGATGCGCGATCTCGAAGGGCAGAGGTTAGACCTTGCACACTGGCTACAATGGTATGCTTTCGATGTCATCGGGAGCATCACATTTCAACGACGATTCGGGTTCCTGGAGAGGAGATATGATGTCGACGAAATGATCAGCAAGATCAACGACGGCCTCGAGCTTGTCAAAATCATCGGGCAGTCCGAATGGTTGGTTGCACTGTTCGACAGATTGTATGCCAATTCCTGGATCAGGGAGAACTACTGGCCTGACACTATGGACAAGTTCTTGAAAGTAAGTCTTTCTTCTCATGCTCCAAGGTGTTTCCCGTGCGGTGCTCACGTCCAAACTCTTCAAGATTACCGAAAAAGAACTGGATAAATACGATCGGAGTCCAAAAGAACCATCCAGGACAGACTTTCTGTCCCAGATGAGAGAAAAACAAGACAAAACCGGCAAGATAACTCACAGAGATATGGTCAATCATCTCTCGAACAATCTGTTCGTACTGATGCGTCGTCATTGTTATGTTGCTACAGCTAACCTCGGCACAGTCTGGCTGGGAGTGATACCACGGGCATATCTCTGCGTGCTGTAGTTTATTTCGTCATAAGAACTCCGCATGTCTACCAGAAACTGCAAAGAGAAATTGACGAGGCTGATGGGGCCGGTCACCTCTCAGAGTACGTGACATATCAAGAGTCGTTGAAACTGCCATACTTGTAAGTCCGACAATCGAAGGCTCATTGCAATAGCGATTCCTGACAAGCTCAATAGCCAAGCTACATTAAAGGAGGCCATGCGAATACATCCTGCTGTGGGATTTCCTTTGGAGAGATATGTACCTGAAGGAGGTGCAGAAGTTTGTGGCTACAGTCTTCCAGCTGGCACTAACATCAGCACTTCTGCGCCACTGATGCATATGGACAAGGGCGTTTTTGGTCACGACGCCCGGATCTTTCGACCTGAGAGATGGCTGGAGGCTTCGCCAGAGCAGTTGAGTCTCATGGATCGCACCTTTATTGCGGTACGTAATCTAACGTCTCGTGGACGAGCAGCTAACTTAACGTCTTCCCTCGCAGTTTGGGCACGGTTCTCGAACGTGCATCGGTAAAAATATCTCCCTCATGGAGATGGGCAAGTTGATCCCACAGCTCTTCCGTCATTTCGATATTGAGTGGGCTTCGGAGCAGTCAGAGTGGCACACACATGCCGCCTGGTTTTGGAAGCAGTCGGGATTGTTTGTGAAACTTAAGAGGCGGGAAACAAAAGAATGGTGTACGGCGACCGAGCTGGGAATCTAGGCACAGATTTAAATTTGGGTTACCGATTGAGGAAGTGCAAGCCACCAGAAGTAGCTTCGGGCAGACGACAGAGGCAGTGGTAACACGGCTATTCTATTCATGAAACTTTCAAGATGACTGTGAGAAATCTGGGTCTATGGACTACTCGGAAGTATTCTAAATCTATATCGACGAGACCATTAGTCCAATTGGACTTGCCGCACTATCATGAGCCCAGTCAGCAGCAGCAAACCTGAGCTGATAATAAGTTCCGCTTGACGCGTATAGAGGCGCAGAAGAATACATATCACTCCAAGAAGCATCTGTAGTCGTGCAGGTACGAGGTCCACCTTTTTCTCCAAGACAAGTATAAAGCTTTACAGCCACGCTGCACTTGAGGCTGCCGTCAGTCGGTCGATCACAGACCAAGGGCGCGTGATAGAATGATAAAATAGTAGGACAGACTATGACTGAAACAAAGTCAAAATTCCCCGCATAGAAGAGTGCGCACAAAGAGTTTCTATTAACTGATACATTACCAGTACCCTCTTCGTATTTAAACAGATTAGTTGGCCGAGTTAAGAAAGCACCTATCCACAGAGTACTCTGGCAGGCCATTTCCACGTATAACTTGGCCATCTGCTGGGCCACCTTGAGCAGTCAGCGTGAACAGACTCGGGATAGGCAGGAGAGCGGTTGTCGTAGAGACTTCGTCAATAATCGTGGTGGAAGTTGGTGATTCGGTGGAAGTTGTCGTTGTTGCGTCCAGTGTTGTATCAGTAGAGATCTGCGTCGAAGATGCCGCGGAGTCAGTGGTAGACTTTGCAGCCGTGGTAGGCTCTGTAGTTCCAGTAGACTCTGTCGTTGTCACTGAAGCATCAATCGAAGATGTCAACTCACCTGATATTGAGATAGATGGCCCAGACACTGCTGTACTGGTGATTTCAGTTCATGTCGCTACAGAAATATCGGACCATGTGACCGAGGTAGTAGACCCAGAATGAGCTACGGAGGTGGACTCGGAGATTGCGATCGTCGTTGCCTCTGTCAACTCTGTCTGCTCTCTCAACGCCGTTGTATCCGATAATGGCTCTGAAAAGCTGATGGTTGGAGAGAAAGTGGACTCAGAAATCGCGAGAGTGGTTGTTGTCATCGAGTCTGACTGCTCGGTCGCTTTCGTGGTATCTGTCGATAATGTCAAAGATAGTCCCAGACTTTCTGTGTTGGTAGCAGTAGTAGCAATGGCTAATTTAGATTATCAGTAGCTTGAGTAAAAAGTTTCATAAATGAACTTACTGGAAGAGTTTGGCTTGCAAGGGCCAGCAACTACAGACTCAAGCCCAAAGGCCAGGGACAAGAGAAGCGCCAAATGCATAACTGCTATTAAAGAGCGGAAGAATAAAACGAAATTTAATCCGAAAAGTTAAAGGGCGAGAAGTGCTTAAAGAGTAAGGTTAAAGCCTTTTATGTTATTTTTTTCTTTTATTTATAGCTGCTAAATTGGCCGAGACGATTCTAAACTAATAGTCTCTTAGAAGTTCCCGTAGCTAAAGATTTAGCGCGAATAGACTTAGCGCTATTGAATACCGCTATGGCAATAATTTTAAAAGAAATAAACGTAGTACTAGGCAGCTCAAAATTTCTCTATGAATTAAATAGCCCCCCTTCTTAATTATATTGTGTAGACCTTTTTTATTCTTATTAGCTCGATATCCTCAGGCCCGAGGCGGTGAATTGTGTGAATAACTAAAAGAGATCGGAGGGGGAAGCGAAGGACCTTCTACCGCCCCGCAATCTTACCGAGAAGGCTAACTATAGACGAAGGGACAAGCTAGTTAAGCTGCCATAGCCAAGAAGACTCTCGCCCTGTTGAGCCCTGACGAGAGCCTTGGAGAATTTGCCTTGCGCGCCCGATCTTAACGGTTCAAATTTTCGAAGAGAGCACGGAGCGGAATATGCATGCTCTGTCGCGGCTCGACCAGTGGGACCATCGTATCAACGTCTATGTGAAGACTCGGCTGAGAGATACCGCCGGGTAACTACCGATATGTTAGTTTCGCATTGCATTTATCTAAAACAGATCGCAGTGTAGGTCTTGTGTCCAAAACCTACCTTAGTCGGCTGGGTCATATGCAGACCAGTCAGTGATCGTCCTTGCGATACGAGGTCTTCTTGTCTAATGGTGGATGGGAGGCCTTGAGGTATTCCAAACCCTCCTGTTCCAGTTGAAGGAGAAATTGGTGTGTATAGTTGCCGTTACTGCACTTTCGCGTATGTGAGAGAGTTGGGGAGTGGTCGACATTATCGTCAATTGTGGATATATTGTATCTTGGAAGCTGGCGGATAAGGATGGCTACGTTCACTAAACCGTCAGTAGCACGATGAGCGCTCCTGTTTACATCGAGCTGTAGGAGGGGGGCAGTAAACATAGGTTCCGCNNTTACTGCCCATAACTTCCCTACCCAATCTCCAAGTAGCAATATTCAGGAAGACTTATTAAAGGATAAGAATCTAGTGAACCTATACGGATTATCATTCTACACTAGTTCGAGACTGAAAGTACAAAAAGTACTGCTGTTCACTACTCTTGATCCCATCTTTGCAACTCTATCCGACCTATGCGGATATCAACACGCCGCTTAATCATTTCAGAGCTTTGGAATAGGAACAACAGCATCAGCAATGCCATTATACTTCTTGTCTCCAAAGTTGCCGCCGTTCCCGAGCAGCAGTCGCTTAGTTCCCTTGATAGTAATCTCTCTGACGCTCCGAGAGTAGGCAGACCAGTGGTTGATGTCAACCTTCTTCCACTGTCCTTCCACTGGATTATCGCCTTGAATCAGAAGATTCTCGGAGGAGGTGGTACTGATGATAATGATGCCAGAGCTGTCCTTGGTATAAGGGTTACGAACCCAAGTCACGTATGGTCCACTGGTGAACAAACTACCATCGGTGGCTTTGAGCCTGGTACCGGGGATAGGCCCAAATGTAAGAGGGCTATCGGAGATTTTGTAATAGATTCTGCAGGAATCCACGCCGCAGCGTTCCCAAGTCATGATCCACTTATCAGTACTCTCGATGTGAGCCACAGTGGTCATGCCAGGGCGAGCGTCATAGCTACTCTCAGCCTCATCAGCGACAATGTCTGACCAGTTCTTAAGGTCGGTGGTGGTAGTATGAACGAGCTTCTGAGCATGATTGGGGTCCCGCTGGTCGGAATAGTAACAGACCAGCTTTCCGTCATACATCAAGAAGAAGGGCTCCCATAGCGCTTTATTGCCATTCTGAATGGTGTTTGGTCCATCACCATACGCAATATGAGACACAAATTCCCAAGTCTTTGCGTCATCTTTGCTAGCGTAGACATCGATGTAAACACGACCTTCCAGGCTTTCAGGGGTCGAAACACCAGCTGCGAGTATAGTGCCCTTGTCATAGCCACCGAAGTCGGTGGGAAGTGTGTACAGGAATGGTTGGAAACGCATGCCCCAACCGTTCTGTGTGTCTTTGACGGCACTGAAATTGGACCAAGTTGCACCGCCATCGATCGACTTGTAGATCGGATCTAACCAGAATGTTAACCTCGGCAGCATATAAACACACAGAGATCAAAAGACATACGATTGACAGGGTATTCCTTGGAGTCAGCTGGGTAGTTTTCCCAGGTCATAAGCAGGGACTCGTCAGGTAGTTGGAGTGAGCGAGCATATAGTGTACCCCAGAGCTGAGCATCGGCCGCAGGCTTGAAAAATTCGTTCTTGGTGAAGTTGGAGAAAGGAGTAGGGGCACGTTTCTCAAGTGCAGCAGCATAAGTAGTGGCCAAAGAGGCCAAGCCGAGAAGAAGAGACCTCATCATGGTTGATAAGAGTAAGTTGAAGGGAGCTTTGTTATTTATTGTGATCCGGGGTAAAGAATGCGTTTAGAGGATAAACGATAAAGAATGATGGAAGTCTTATATATTCAAGATTATGTACAATAAATACTTATTAACGAAATATCACTTCAGACACCAATACCGTACCTAGCAAAGTACCCAAAATGACGAGCAAAGGAGATCCAAACGCGCCAATGGCGCAACTGCCAGTGAGTTTCTGACTTTAGCCAAATAACGCGTTAAGGTTATTGGACTGCAGGATGCGGCAATTCATGGCATCATCCCAATATGCGGGGTGATAGTCTGGGGTAACTAACTAGTGTCTATGCGTCGGTACACCTCTCACATCATCAGCTGATACCGTTCGGTGTTTGACCCGACACTCCGCAGGTTGATTTTGCCTAGGTTGGCATCGGATATGACCCGATACTCCGCGACCAGAAAATGGCACAACCAATGATTCACGTGTCTTCCACTATGGAGTGGTTTCTACAACAGGCTGTCATATTACTTTCTCACTTGAAGAAACCAATATCACCTTTTCAAACCACTTCGCACATGCACTGCATAGTTACATCCGACCCAGCATCATTCTTTGCGGTCCTGTCATCATGAAGAGCGCTACCCTAGCAATCCAGACACATCGACGCCAGATTCACGATCATGAAACCTCCCAGCCTCTGACCTTCGACAAGGCCGTGAAGGAAGTCGAAAATGGCCATGATCCTTCAGCTGTTGCCATCCGCCTGCTGGAGGAAATGTCACCAGCCGAGCGCTTGCATCTCCTGGATGGAGACATGCCTTTCTGGGATGGTCTGCGGGAAATACTCTGCGATCGTTATAACCGCAAACCATTTGTCATGGGCGCGATCCCTCGTCTCAACATTCCGGGAGTAAAGTTTACCGATGGGCCCAGGGGCATTGTCATGGGCTCGTCGACAGCCTTTCCGATTGCCATGGCGCGCGGTGCAACCTGGGATGTTGATCTCGAACGGCGTGTTGGTAATGCTATTGGACTCGAAGGCAAGGCCCAAGGCGCCAATCTCTTCGCTGGTGTATGTATCAACCTCCCGCGCCATCCAGCTTGGGGTCGCATCCAGGAGACATATGGAGAAGACCCCATTTTGTTGGGCGAATTTGGCACTGCACTCACCCAGGGCGTTCAAAATCATATCATGGCATGCGTTAAGCATTTTGCTTTGAACTCGATAGAGAATGCTCGGTTCCGAGTTGATGTACAAGTAGACGAAGACGTGCTTCATGAAGTATACCTTGCTCACTTTAGGAAGGTCATCGAAGCTGGCGCAGCATCAGTCATGTCTTCATATAACTCGGTCAACGGCGAGTGGGCTGGGCAGAGCAGGCTCTTACTTACAGATATCCTGCGCGGCCAGTGGGATTTCACTGGGTTCGTCATGACAGACTTCATTTTCGGTCTACGAAACGCTGCGACTTCTCTGAAGAGCGGCTTGGATATTGAAGCTCCTTTCATGCAACAACGGGCAATGCATCTGAATGATGCATTGATGAGTGGTGAAATATCCTGGGTTGATGTCGGCAAAGCGGCCATGAACATTTTGCGCACCAAGCTCGAATTTGGCTCTCTTCTTGTCCAGGAAGCACCTGATGAGTCGGTTGTCTTCTGTGCAGAACATCGACAGCTCGCCCAAGAGGTTGCAGGACGATCAATGGTTCTTCTTAAGAATGATTCTATCAATGGCAATCCGGTTCTGCCACTCAAATCAGAAGCTCTATCTCGTTTGGCTGTTATTGGCCGTCTGGCAAACAAACCCAACACGGGGGACAAGGGATCCTCACAGGTTTTTTCACCGACCATCGTCACCCCCTACCAAGGACTCAAGAGTGAAATTCCGAGCGCAGATGTTATTCTTGAAGATAGTGACAATCCAGAAGCCGCTCGAGAGGCCGCCGAGCAAGCAGATGTTGCTGTTGTTATCGTAGGCTACGATGCCGGGGATGAGGGCGAATATGTGGTGCCTTCGCTCCAGAATGACCCCAGCCTATCTGAGCTATTCCCCCCGACGAGAAATCCCGACGAGGAAGAGATGTTGTCGATTGTGCGGGGAAATCCAGCCCAAGGAAAACAAGAATCAGCATTGGAAGTTGGTGCTGGTGGCGACCGACGGTCTTTGCGATTAAGACCTCGAGACGTTCAAGTTATCAATGCCGTGGCGTCTGTCAACTCACATACAATCGTGGTGCTTATTTGCGCCGGTGCTGTTATAATGGAGGAATGGAAAGATAAAACACCTGCTATCTTGATCAGTTGGTACGCTGGGTCAGAGGGTGGCCATGCACTCGCAGACGTCTTGCTTGGACGTGTTGATGCTGGAGGTAGATTACCATTCTCTATCCCTAAGGACGAAAGCCACCTCCCAGAACTTGACATCGAAGCATCAAGTATCAAATATGATCGTTGGTACGGCCAAGCTCTGCTCGATAAGCTTGGAGTTGACGCGGCTTTTCCACTCGGTTATGGGTTGTCCTATACAAAGTTTCGATTCAGGAACCTTGAATGTGAGTATTTGACAGGCCAGAGGAGTATCAAGGTCGCGTTGGACGTGGAAAATATAGGTCTGAGATCCGGCCATCACGTTGCCCAGGTGTATGGATACCCTAAGATGGCAGAGTTTCCGCATCGGGTCTTGCTTGGTTTCAGGAATGCTTACTTGCAATCGAGGGAGTCGAAGCGAATATGTATTGAAGCATCCTTGCGGCCAATTGAACGATGGGTCAATGGCAAATTCTGCTTGTTGGTTAGTTCTGTTGAGATTGAGGTTGCTGGACACTCTGGGGACAAGGAGGCGATTCGCATGGTTTGTAAGCTACTTTGAAGCGCACAATATGCACAATTAGCAGATAAATTGATTGGAAAATTGATTGCAGCTTGCTACGTGCCGCAAATAATGGTAGGATCACTACACAACTTGGACGAGCCATTTCATTGTTTGTAACACCGAAAGCATTCCATCGGCCTCAAGGCTCCAGTATTCGACCATTTTCAAGGTATCCAAGACTGTGTCTTTCCAACCTAAAGGCAAAAGGGTAGACCCGGGGTGTAAGCGTGCAAACCCAAGCAGTATACTTGCGCTTCTTGCTGAGCTTCGCAGCATGAGCCAAGTCCCGTGGTGACGATGGTAGTAACCTGGTGCATTAACTAGCAACCTTTGGTAGTGACAATCCAGTGCAGCAGAAGTATCATGATCATCCAACTCTTGGTCTACAGCTTCGTTAAGAGCAAAATGCATAAACGGCCAGGAAATAAGCTCGCGGATATACGTGACGCGCCCGCGCAGGACGAATCGGATCACATCATCCTCGACACCTCCATAAGGAGAGGATTCATTTTCGATACTGACGAGCGGCGGTAGTGAGGTTTGCCATGTCTCGAGTTGATGTGATGTATCTTTTCTAATCTCTCTCAAAGCTCTTGAAACCGACAGCCAGCTTCCATGCTGGAGCTGGCCCATTATTCTTCGAGCATTCACCTCGACTCTCCATAGAGCTATCTCGGACAGGTAAAAGTACCATGCTCGCTCAAAATCACCTTCGCATCCATCGGGAGGCTTAGGGAACAGCTCGGGAGGGTCATCAGCCAGTCCAGCGGGGCTAGACATGCCCAGTTCGAACCTGAGCTCCTGTTCAGACTTCCAGCACGACCACAAAACACTCTGTTCTGAAGTCTCCTGCGTGCATGTCTGGCCCGAAGCAGGGTCGAGTTGTCGGATGTAAGAAAGCGAGTGGCAAATCGCTAATCCGTGTACAAATGTTGCCCAAGCCTCGACAGGTCGTATCAGTGACATGAGAAGAACCCCTGATAGAAAGGCGCACTGAGCATGTATCAGTCCCACTGGACCTAAGCCGCCACCAACTCTTCTCTTTGCTGCCTCGAATAGGTAAATCGCCATTCGTCGGTCTGGGTGTGATAGAGGGAGATGCTCTTCGAGTGGTCGGGCAATGGCTCCGTTGGCGCAAACCAGAAGCGCCAGACCGGAGTCGATGCTCCAGTCAAGTCCCTGTGCGCACAGCCTGGAGACAAGTCTTCGTGTTTCTTCCTCGTCCAAGATTGGGTTCTTGACATGAATATGGGCGAAGAAGCTACTGAGCCACCGCTCGCATGATGCCCGGTCGAGAATCTCATCCACCCATGGTCTCTGTGCATTACTGCATTCAGACTGTGACCCAGGGGGTTGTTGTGTATGGGACGTCAGAATTGGTAACTGGACGTCTCTGAAGACACTCCATTGGAGGACTTTGTCGATCGTAATAGGGAAAAGAATCTTGTGGATGACACTAGGCTCGGGCGATAAGTCGTCGCTGGTCTCATGGATACTGTCATCATAATGGGTCCCTAGGAACGCCGGCTGGGGCCTCGATTGGCTGTCTATCTTACGCTCGAGTCGGTCGAGCCGGTCTAGGATGGCAAGGCTCGCTTGATCGAATGTCACATTGGTGTCTGGTTCGAAAACACATTCCACGCCAGCTTTTACGCAGAATGAACAGGCCGGCCGTTGCTGATCGCACTTTGTTCTCCGAGCGCGGCATACCTGGCATGCTTTGATGGCTCGTTTCCTAGCGTACGTAGAGGCAGGGCGGCTGATGGAAGCACGGTGACTGTCTGCGCGACGGCGAGATTGAGACGCCATGGCGTTGAGAGAAAGACAAAAAGAAGGGCAGCGGAATGTCGGGGGGGGATGCTAAAAAGAGATACGAGTGATGTTGAGTGATGGTTTCTCTTTATTCAGCAAGAAACAAGGCATCGGAAACTAGCGGAGTATCGGGTCCAAATCCGATGTGTAGAGTCATGGTTCTATACCAGTTTTCGCCTAGTTGAGCCATTCTTCCCCGCATGGGGAACAAGTCTAAGAGTTTCCTCGCGACCCCGCGAATTAGACCAAACCTTCCCCAGTCTGGGTTGGCTTGGAAATGGCCTGGGTCGCGACCGAATAGCATATCATGTCGACAAACTCACCGGCCACCGGAATGATATAAGATACAAAGAGCACGTTCCTCTTCCCTTTTTTCCCCTCCAAAGCATCCTCAACAGCATCGCCAACGACTCTTCTGATTGAAATTTGACAATACAACATCCACTTCACCATGGCCAACACCAGTCAGCATGCACTCGACCAAAAGAGTACCTTGAGCCACATGGACGCAACCGTTGAGCATATGGCAGTCTCTGACAAACACATGCTGGATCAGATCCAAGTGGCCAATGCCAACGAACATAGTCTGACCTTCAAGGATGTCGCTCGAAAGCACCCCAAGATTATCTGGTGGTCCTTCTTCTGGTGCATGTGTGCTGTGGGTTGTGAGTTTTCGCTCGTCGGATGATACCGGCATATCTACTGTGAGATGCTGACTTGTCCAACCAGGGGGTTTTGATACCCAGGTCAACGGTGCCATGGTAGGTGTTCCAGCCTTTCGCAAATACTATGGGTAAGTCACCATTTCATTTCACCCCTCTAATAATATTATTTCTAATCCATGACAAAGTCACGAGCTCAATGGTCACTGGGTGATCCCGGCGGACTGGTTGACCGCTTTCAACATTGTCTCTTCCGTCGGTCAGTTCTTTGGAGGTTTTGCTTGCAGCGCCATCTCCGATAGAATGGGCCGCAAGAAGAGTCTTACTTTGGGCGTTCTTGTTGTGACTGGAGGCATCATGGGAGAGTCCTTTTCTTCCAGCCGAGCTGCTTTCGTAGTCAGCAAGCTTATCCTTGGCGTCGGAGTTGGCTTTTACTTGACACTGGGCCCTATCACCTGCTCCGAAATTGCCCCGACTGTCTTACGTGGTCTCTCTACCGCTGGTGTCAACCTTGCTATTGCCGTCGGTCAACTGATATCGAATTCGGTGACTTCGGGTTTTGGTAACCGAGACGACGTTTGGGCTTTCCGAGGACCATTCCTGGCGCAGCTGATCTTTTCTGTCTTCCTCTTCATCGGTAGCTTTCTCTCTCCCGAGTCACCTTGGTATCTTGTGCGAGCTGGAAAGATGGAAGAGGCCAGAATTGTCCTTCAGGATCTGTATGGATCTGAATTTGAGGCATTGGAAAAGCTTCAAGCCATTCAGCAGACAGTCGAAGAGGAGTCCACCATGGCTAGTCCTTCCTACATCTCGGCATTCAAGGGCACTGATAGAGTTCGTACATTTATTTCTATCGGTGTCTTTGCTTGTCAACATGCCGTCGGTATCATTTTCGTCCTCAGCTTCTCCACCTATTTTTTCCAATTAGCTGGACTCAATACGCAAAAGTCTCTGAACCTTGGTGTTGGTGTTACCGCCTGTGGTGTAGCTGGCAATATCTGCTCGTGGTTTATTGTGAACCGCTTTGGCCGCCGCCCTATCTTTATCCTGGGAATGTTCGCTTGTACGACCATTCTTCTTCTCATCGGTGTTCTCGATGTAGTGCCAACAGGTGCCGCCAAGTGGGCTATGTCTTCTCTGACTGTTGTTTTCTCGTTTGTGTACTTCCTCACGATTGGAGCGGTAGCATTTGTTTTACTGGGGGAAGTCTCCTCCTTGTCCCAAAGGGCTCGAACAACCGCTCTGGCCACCGCAACTCAGGCTATCTTTGGTATTATTATGTTCTTTGCTGTTCCATATATGGTCAATCCTGACGCTGGGGTAAGTTCTGCCCTGTCCTTGAACGACTGAATATACTAATTGTTCTAGAACCTCGGCGGCAAAGTTGGCTTTATCTTTGGTGGACTCTCGGCCTTTGCTTCCATTATCTGTGTTTTCTATATCCCCGAGCTCAAAGGACGAACTTATCAGGAAATTGATACAATGTTTTATCGCCAAGTTCCTCTGCGTAAGATGGGATCTTATACTATATAATAGTTAAATAAGACTTACTTTATTCTAAATCTTTAATATTTGGAAAACGAATATAAAAAGTCTAAATATGGTAACTAGGAACTTATAATCTATCAGATCTCTATTACTGAGAATCTTGTTGAGCTAAAAGCTCATCTGCCTCGCTTTTATCTTTCCGATAGTGGACTGCATTCACAGCATAAGCGAGAGATTTCGCGCACTGGCAACACAGTAACTTCGTCTTATGTTTTGAAGCATTTGGCTGGCCCTTGTCGAAGTACAGAGCTTCTGAAAGTGCAAGGAAGGACGTCTTCCAATGGTAGGCTGCCGTAATGCAAGGAAAGGTAATATCTATATAGTAATAGGAATCAATACAAGCTTTAGCAGCATTATTACAGGTAGTTACAGATTGTATCCTTAGCAATATCTGCAAGCCGTATCAGGACAGTATCCATGGTTACAAGTATAACTGCACAGTCCCTTGTAGCTATCATCAAGACCGGCGGCAGGGCAGCCCTCACGACCGTTGGAAGCTGGAGGGGATACAGCTGTTCCATACCTGGTACACTTGCATTGAGCTGGTGGGCAGTAGTTATAGGCACAAGTGAACTTGCAAAGACCAAGATAGTTACCACTTTGACCGTTTGCTACAGCGCCCTCAATGCAAGCCTCTCCGTTCCCTGGGTCAGTCATCGTGGGGGGGTCATTTCCTTGTGTCGGGGAAGCTGGGTTGGTTCCGAGAGAAGGCTTAGGCTGGCACGTTGTGACACGCAGACCGACAGTCAACGACGCGAGACCACTGCTATCAAGAGGGTCAGAGAAGCTGGCGGCAACAGTGCCAACATAGGCATTAAAGTTGTACAAGCCGCAGGGGCAGATGGAAGTGATGTCCATAAGTGAGGTATCGGACAAGACGTTGGTGCTGCCACGCTTGAGAGTGAATGTCTGCTNNGTTCCAGCAGATTGGAGCAGACTCACGACGTAGACTGTGTCTTCCATTGTTTGCCATCCATCCGGGCGACCCTGGAAATAGTTCTCATTGGGCTTAGGGGGCGCTCTGCCAGAGGTTGTATCGGTAGCATCGCAGTTGAGAGCCTTAAGATTACGGCGATACCAGTAGATGATCTGATCCTTCTCAATGTACTTGGCCACGTTGGTGTCTTTGTTCTTGTATGCGGCGATAAAGGGCTTAGAGAGGTCAAGCCAACCGTTGTGAGGCATATCGTTGGACCATTTTGATGCTCCATCGTCGGTGTGTTTATTTCTGAGGGGTCCGATATAGTGAGACTCGCCATAGTCGTTCCAGGTGAGGATTTCAACCATAGGGAATCCATTTTGAAGAACCTCGTTCCAGCGGTCAAAGATGAGTGAGCCGCTAGGGAAGACCCAGTTCTAGTACTGTCAGTCTTTTGACCATTCTTTTCCATGATAAAGGAGAACTAACCTTGGACCAGTCGACCTCAGGACCATAGTGAGTAAAGAACCAGGGCGAGATAGCTAGTTATGAGTTAGTCACCTCTACTATCATGCAGAGGAGGGATACTTACGAGCCATGTACTTTTTGTTTCCAAGCCAGTTCGTGTAACTCTTGTCACCATCGGCGACACTGACACTCTTACCATCCTTAGGCGCCTTGTTGTTACCATCGTTTGGCCAGCCCATCCAGTTCAGAGCACCATCAATACCATTCGTAGAGCCTCCCCAAGGAGTAAAGTTTGGAACAAAGAAGATATTGGAGCCAGAAGCACTTCTGACAGCATTGGCATCGAGGTTATCTCCTGCAAAACTGGACACAAAAACTCTGTTGTCAATGCGTAGCTGACCCGGGCGGTCGGCATACTTCTTGACCTTCTGACCAACAGCGGCTGCATCGCCAACTGACCAGAAGTGAAAGTCGAATGAGATGAAAACTTTCATGTCATTGCGATTGGCAGATTCATACGCGTAATCAAGCTGTGCATCCGTATAATCGTCGGTGCCGATGTTGAGGGCAAAGGCGTCAATGCCAGCGGACTTTGCACGCTTCATATCATCGTCATAGTCGGCAGAGTTTTGTCTGTTGCCAACAATCCCAATCTCGCGGTGTTAATTCAGCATGGAGGTGAGGGGTAGAAATGCGTACCATGAAATGAGCGAACACCAGACGATCGCTCGAGGAGGCTCTTTCAGCGAGTGATCGACTGTCAAGAGCAGCACCTTGACAAATCGTAGTAGCGAAGGCTGCCAGGCCAAGGCCCTGGAATAGGCGAGAAACAA